AAAACAAAATTTATTTTCTTAAAAAGTTACTTCTATATATATTATTAGAAATTATATGAAGGTGGCCCTTGGGTGATAGAATATTTATTTTCCTTAGAACTGTCTATCTGAACTCTTCTACGGAGTAGTAATGGTTACAGGCCAGTAATAAGTTGAATATTGTCGCCTTAGAGTGAAGACTTTGCAAATGCATTTTCACATAGTTCGTTTTTAATGATTTTTGTTGAAGAACAACTTATTAACTTCTTGCTCAAATATATTATTAAAGTGATATGGTACCTGCAAGTGGTATAATTTGATTAATTAAAATGCTAACCACAGACATTATTGTGTTTACTACATTTTACAACACATTTTTATCTTCATCTTGAAAATTACTTAGAAATAAAATACAAGGTATTCACTCTAAGACGACGATATACTTTTAAATGTTGCGTAATGGTCAGAACTTTTTAGTGTCTGGTAATTTATTATATATGACTACAACCCTATAGTAAGGGCTGCTTCTGTATATCTCTAAATTGGGAGTAGGGATCATTTGTCACTTATTAACGGGGTCAGATATAGAAGTGTTTTTTACAAACATTAGCTTCAAGGATGTACTATCAATTCAATCTGCAGTTAGTGATATTAGGAATGTAATCTGTATTTTTGCGGAGTTGCTGGGAAATATTGGACTTTGTATATCAGAGGGAAACAGTAAAGCCTGTTTGTTTAATAGATCCAGAAGAGAATTTAATTTAGAATTAGACATAGTTGGTGTAGTAATAAATAACCATAAAAAAATTTATTATCTGGGCTTATGGCTAGACTCCAAGCTCCTTTGGAACTCTCACATAAATCAGTTGTATCAAAAGATTTATAAACATCTTAATATTTTAAAAGTACTCGTAGGTTGCTCTTGGGGTGTTACCTAAAGTTTATGAGAAGGACATTTCTCTTTTAAAGCCAAATTGATTATGGAAGTTTTTTGTATGCTAACTCAGCTCAGAGCTGTCACTTACGTAAACTAGACCTCTTACAAAATAAAGCCTTATGTATCTGTGGGGGATTCATTCGAACTACACCGATACATGTAATGGAATGTGAGTTGGCCATACCACCTCTGGCTGTGCGTAGATACTGGTTGGCACATAAATATTGGTTATCCACAGTATCTCTTACTAAAAAAGTAAGTGTACGAAGTATTCAAGATCTAACCGCAGAATGTAACATAATTAGTTACTGGAATAATAAGGCAAAACCAGCTTTAACTGAAGCTTGTAACAATTTAGAAAATAGAGATGTATACAAAAATAACAAATTGGAAATGTTTTATATGGAAATTTGGATGTCGTACATAGATATAAATAACTGCATAAAAGACAGGATACCCAACCTGACCACTCCCAAGGGACAATGTAACACGGTGTATTTAAATAATTGTGTAAATAAGTTTTGAACTCTTAAATACAGTGGCTACTATAGGATTTTTACTGATAGTTCCAAGGACATCAATGGTGTTGGCGTGGCCTTTTATGACCCGTAAGAAAAAGTATCATTCAAACTCAAATTGTGTTATGAAGCATGCATAATGAGAGCGGAGTTATTTGCCATAGTGGAAGCATTATCCTTTGTTAGTTCTGTGGATACAAAAAAAATTGTTATTCTCACTGATTCTAAAAGTGCACTTCAGCACTTGGTTTGATGTGTCTTTGGAGGTCAAGGCATGGCAATAGCATATGAGGCATTAAAATTAATGACTAACCTATTGTCCAATAATATTAACATAACACTTCAATATCATCACATATCGGACTTCTAGGAAACGAAGTAGCAGACAGACTAGCAAGGGAGGCTATTTCCGAGCCGTTGGAACCATCCGGTATGCCCTTTGCCACAGAACTTATCCCATTTGTAAGGGACCTAAGTATGGATCAATGGGCTAGAGCTATGATGAGATCTCTGTGTCCTCCAAGAAAGCCCTGGTTTGAGGAGGGTAGACTATCCAAGTCACTGTTAATAATTGCTCTTAGACCGCATTCTGGTCACATTCCATTAAATAAGTTTTACTCATTGACTTACAAATAAATGGACGACGGGTCTAATACAAAAACCACGAAAAAAATGTCCCAAATCAACCTATTCGAAATTTAAATTGTAATGTCATCGCAGTATCGCGCTGTCAGTAGAACAAATGAAGACTAAAGCGGAGTGTCGCGCTCTGTATACGATTTTAGCGCCTTACAAGTGCGGACACTTTTTAGCGCGGACCCGACGTCCATATAATTGTAAGTCAATGGTTTTACTATATTCATTAAATTTTTATTGAATTGATATTCAATTATTTTTTTGTGAAATTACTCCACTAGTTTGTTATAATTATTAATACAAAGATCGAACACTCAGAAAAAATTCCTTCGATCCGGTCGGATTCGAACCGACGTCTTCTTGCATACCGTGCCAGACGCTATACCAACTAAGCCACGGAACGAACCAACGGACCTCACGAATTTTTCTATGTGGTTGGGTCGTGTCTTTGTACTTGGTCTTTCAACGACTTTTTAGTCGTAGCGCCATCTATGAGAAACCTATTACAGATTTATCACCCAGTTAGTACCTTTACAGCTACCAGACCTGGCGAGAGATGTCGCTATTCACTGTATTAATTAAATTTTTATTAAATTGATATTCAATTATTTTTTGTGAAATTACTACACTAGTTTGTTATAATTATTAATACAAAGATCGAACACTCAGAAAAAACACTCAGAAAAAATTCCTTCGATCCGGTCGGATTCGAACCGACGTCTTCTTGCATACCGTGCCAGACGCTATACCAACTAAGCCACGGAACGAACCAACGGACCTCACGAATTTTTCTATGTGCTTGGGTCGTGTCTTTGTACTTGGTCTTTCAACGACTTTTTATAGTCGTCACAAAATAATAGATCATATTTGACAGCTAAACCAGTCGATAGTATGTAACTTTGAATGCAATCAACGAAACAGTAAATAAGCAATTAATAACTTATTGGGTTTTAAAAAAATACATAAATTTTATTGAAGGTCTATACATTATGAAAGAAACATATTTCAAGTATTATTTTCGCAGGAATTCCAAAATAAAATCCAATTTTGGGTTACTCCGAAACGTCTTATAAACAGTTACATCTTCAGTCTACAAAGAAATAATTCTTTTTAATAATAATGTTGTAACCAATACGCGCCGACTATCATCGAGTCAAATCGGTTTCACTTAAAAAAATGACTTATTTAATTACAAAAACAAAAATTTTAAAGTGCTTACAAAATTAGACTGAGTATACTAGTATTTATAGTAGACAGAACCGTAAAGTCAGATTTGTATTTCCTTTTCTTTATCGCAAATTCTGAAACGGCAACACTGATGTCGATTTAGCGTCACTCTGCATCGGCGCCCGCGCAGTCTTTCGCCGTCTTGGAAGTTGACTGTACGCTTGGTTATTCGTGGTGTTTTTTCTTGTGACTCGGCTGTGCTTTTGGACTACTTCTATTTTCAATCTCGTTGACCTTGGCTTGGATATTTTGGACTTGATTCTGTGTGAACTCTTTTTCAACATGTCGAAAAGAGGACGTGCTTTAAATAGCCAGACTCGCGAACTGGTTGTGAAATTACACGACTATTTCGAAAGGGAGTCACTTAATGGTGGACCTCTATTACCAGTGACACAAGTGCAAAATCGCGTCGCAAGTGCACTTGGAATCGGCAAAAGAACGGTACACACCATCATACAAGAAAAATATGGGCCTTCCGGCTCTCAAGAAAACGTATTACATACGCCTAGAAAGAGGAAGAAAAGCAAGCCTGTAACAGGTATCGACACGTTCGATGCAGACGCTATTCGTAACCATGTTTATACATATTATACTAGACACGAGTACCCTACTGTGAGTAAATTGTTGGTATCACTTCGAGAGCTTGGCTTATTTACTGGGAGTGCTACCTCACTGATTACAATTTTGAAAAAAATTGGTTTTAAATACAAGAAGTCTGACAAAAGAAATATTATGATGGAAAGACATGATTTAATATTACAAAGAGTTTCATTTTTGAGAGAAATGAATAAAATTACAAATTGGGATAATGTTGTGTTTATCGATGAGACTTGGTTGAACTCAAACCACACAGTACCACAATCATGGACCGACGACACTAAAGCATCCAGCTCGAAAGTGCCAATGGGAAAAGGTGGTCGCCTCATAATTTGCCATGCTGGATCAGCCGGGGGAGGTTTCGTTAATAATGCTTTACTAGCATTTGAATCAAAAAGTACAAAAGAATATCACGAAGAAATGGACGCAAACAAATTTAAAGAGTGGTTTAAAACTTTACTTCAGAACCTCCCCGAACAATGTACAATAATTATGGACAATGCATCGTATCATTCGGTTCAAATAGATCGAGCGCCGACTCAGGCAAATAAAAAGGCTGATTTGGTGGCATGGCTACAGAGGAATGGTGTCGAAGCTGACATGGAGCTATTGAAAGTGGAATTGTTAAGATTAGTGCGAGAGCATAGACCTACAAAACTTAGGTATGAAATTGATGAATTGGCACTTGAGCATGGACATAAAATTATAAGGACACCGCCGTACCACTGTCAATACAATGCTATTGAGTTGATTTGGGCTCAAATTAAAGGTTAATATTTTTGCATTTAATACTGTTATTTTAAATTCGTATATATTAAGACTTATTTTGTACTAGTAGCATATTTTAATAAAGTACAAATGTAAAGAGGTAACATATAAACTTTCGAATTTGTAATATCACTGTGAAGGAACATTACTATTTTACAACAGTGTTTTTTTTTTACAGGCTACGCAGGACGTAATAATACTAAGCCACCGTTCTCCACAAAAAAAATGATGACTTTATTAAAGGAAGCATGTACTAAAGTAACAAAGGAAGACTGGAGAAAGGTGGTGGAAAAAACTAGAAAACTAATAAAAGAAGATTTTGACAGAGATGTTAATATTGATAATTTAATTGAAAACGAGTTAATTATATGGACTGGTGAAACTAGCTCAACAGATGGTTTTGGTTCATCTTCCGATGACGTTGATAAATAAAAAATTCCAATAAGGAGGTCTTTTGTTTTACTTCAGAATTTTGTTATTTACGTACAGGTTATCCTCGTGAACTATGCTAATGTATAACTACAATACAACAACAAGTACAGGTTGCCGTTGTGCTCACTTAAAATACTTACTTATTATTTCTATTAAACTGTATAACGTTTAAATAAATGTTGATTGATATATCTAGAACTGAAAAGCAATGAACAGAAAAATAACCTAAACGATTACAAACTCCTAAAATTTTTAATCGATTTCTCGTGAGAATCGTTTAAACTGGTTACCGATATTGCAGTTCACATCACTATTTACGTTGCGATGACATGTGTCAAATATGATCTATTATTTTGTGACGACTATAGTCGTAGCGCCATCTATGAGAAATCTATTACAGATTTATCACCCAGTTAGTACCTTTACAGCTACCAGTCCTGGCGAGAGATGTCGCTATTCACTGTATTAATTAAATTTTTATTGAATTGATATTCAATTATTTTTTTGGGAAATTACTCCACTAGTTTGTTATAATTATTAATACAAAGATCGAACACTCAGAAAAAACACTCAGAAAAAATTCCTTCGATCCGGTAAGTTTTACTATTTCATGAATCAGAAGGGCCGAATCCCCTCAATGCCAATTCTGTAACAAGTTGGAGGACATGCTTTATTTAAAGGGATGTGATCGGTATGCGTGCTGTCAAACCCAATATCAATTGAAGGACATTGGTCAGGTGGGAGAGCTAAATTTAATGATGAGCAACCCGTTGACGAAGTGTGCTGAAGCTTTATACTCCTATGTGAGGTCTTGCTTTCTGATGAGGAGCATTACCTCACATGGGAGTAGTGACAGATAAAATAGGAGACTTATTTATATGTATACATACATTACGAGGCCGACATTAATGCCCAAACTTTTCAGGCCTCTTAAAACTGTATAAAAAAAAAGATGTGATACTATTTATATATTTTAAAATAAATTAGGCTTCTTAATTTCAAAACCATAAACAGGTAATCACGACACTGTGGTTTGCAATGCAGTAACAGTTCTCATCTACTGTCTTACATAAATAAATAGATAGATAGATTACCACTTTAAAATAAATATTTTTTAAATTTGTTACATATTTCTTTTTCTTCTTCTTTGATTAATATTCTTTGTAATAAAAAGCAAGCAGAGAATTTAATACAATAAATAATTTACCTGTAGTTCTAGCTGCAATAGTAGCATATTCAGAACGCTTGGTTCTGATCTCAAGGATATTATCTGCAAGTACAGCTATCACTTTGCCCGCATCGCCCAGAGCGATGTGCCACTTTTGTTGTCTTTCTTTAAAACTAAAAAAACATTATGATAAAAAAATAATTAATTAATTTATCTGAAAGTTATTAAACACACTTACGCTGTGATGCTATCAATAAGTCTCTTCTTAGGCCCAAAAAAATTTAACCATCTCCAAAGGGATGATATGTTTTCAGGTAAAATGTTGTCAGACTTTTGCTGAAAAAAAAATCAATGATTTCGCCAATTACAACTTCTCCAAACTACACCTATCTATTAACTTGTCAAGTCCAATATATAAATAGAACAATGTTTTAACATATTATCAAGGCTTTTAGGTAAAATTCAGCAAAATAATCTTAAATTATGTTAAAACTTACTAAATATTCGGGTTCTGGTTTCCATTCGGAAAACACGTATAATTCGTGCAGTATTGACTTTTTCTCTTCCATTGTAAGTAATTGTGTTGTTACAAATTATTTCATGCGGTTTTAATGCATTGGAAACGTTTTAATTAATATTTTATGCTGACGATTCGATCGCAAAATTTGACAGGAACGACATACGTTTTTAGAGCACGAACCTGACTATTTTATACACCAAGTAAATACCAGCTTGCCACTGAGAAACTATACTCAATATTAGTGGCGGTGCAATGTAGTACAGAGTAGGCAAATCAATTTAAATAGCTACAAGAAAACTGTCCAACGTCATACTGTCGTTCGGAAAATTGTTTTTGACAATTTTGGTTACGAAACCATTTCTAAACGTATTATTATTGTTGCGAATTGAGGTTATGTTGTCATTTTCACCCACAAACCACTTGTTTTCATCCATAGATTATATACTCTATTTTCACCTATATTATACCAAAACTATTTTACTTTTGTATATAAATGAATTTTCTAAGTAATATTTATCATGAGGTGAGTACACCAGTAAAAAATACTTACTTTAGGTGTTTTATATAATTTACACGATAACATAAAGGATGCTTGATAATGATTTCATGTCGGTCTTTATTTCTATACAGAGTTTGGCAGGGAACGAAAGGAACATTCGCTTCTGGGAAAATTATATACAGAACCTGAGATGTATAGACTTCAATACGTTTTCCGATAAACTAAAAGTGCCGGCACTAATTCCGATTGGTAGCAGGATATTGTTCAGAGGGGAACTGAGACACACTAACGAAGTGACTGTTGCTTTGGGAGCCGATTATTTTGTCAAATGTTCTTTGAAACAAGCTGAGATATTAAGGCAACATAGGATAAAAGGTAAACATGGTTCTTTTTCTCAGACAACTTTTACAGTACATTCCAAATTCTAAATACTCACTACATTTCTGCATCCTGGGAAAAAACCGAGACTTGGATCATCATCCTGGGAAATATCAAGTCCTTAGGTTTTCGTGATTGTTACACATAGGAAATGAAACTATTTTCAGATTTAATAATAAATTTAACTTATAATATTGTATGCCATATGGCAGATCACAGTGATTCAAAATTCATTCTTGTAACAACTTCATAACCTGTGTATCACAAAGAAATAAATGATTTGATTTGATAAAAAATCATATTGTTAAAATAAAATAATTTGTGAAACAGATGTTGCATAAATTGGAATGTTCTTTGTAAAATTAAAAATAAGGTATTTAATTAATAACTTTTGTAACTATGGTGAAAAAATGGGGTGGTTTGGATTAATATTGGATATAACTGGTTGATGACTTTACCGCCTCAGTCAACCGTGACCATAGAACAAGGTTAGACATTTAGTAAGTCAAAAAACAATACTTCAGTTAAGTTCTTTGTTAACTCAAATTATTATAAAATTAAATTCTTCTTTAGAGCTTTTTCATTTTTAAAGTGAGGGTGTAAAAAAAATGGGCATTTCAGATAGTGAGAATCTGATTTTATTATTTTCATTTTTCAATACCCACAGATTGTGCTAAGATCTATATAAAAAGTGCCAGTTAATTTAGTAGATTTTTTAATACTGTTAAGTGATTACAGTGAGCGCAACTGAAGACATCAGTTTTGAACTTCAAAAACACCAAAACATCATCAGGATTCTGGAAATATTCGAAACCGAGATTCCCACTATAAAAGCCATTGGGACTTTAAAGTTCACATCTAACAGATTTTTGTTTTTCTGAATTAGATTTATTTTTAAAATTAGCTTTGGCTGTTGGTGCTGTGTGAAATTTTGCCAATGCTCTCTCAATTTCCATTTAAAATACATAAAGTTAAAGAAACTAAAAACTACTATTTATTTTCTGTAATGTTTAATTTTAAGATGCTGAATCAAAATTAAGCTCATTCAGAAAAGAAAGAGAATATTTAGAAAACCAACTATCCTTTCCTAAGACTACACTGTATGACAATGAAGGGCAAGATATCATTGAGGTACACACTGAAGAAGAGGACAAAGCATGGAGAGCAAAACACAGAGAGAATATCAAGAAGTACAAACAGAGTCAGATTAAAAAAGAAGATTACAAACAAGTAACAGATGAAGAACTGTGGCAGAAACTGGAAGAACTAGAACTTCAGGAAGAACTTGAAAATGAACTTGCTGAACTAAAATATGGTGAGTCAAAAGAAAAAACTATTTCAATAGAAGGTACGAAAATAAAAACTCAAATACCAGGTGATCACAAACAAGCCATAGCAAGTGAAAAGAAGATTGTATTGAAAACAGACGAAATGACAAATGAAAATCATAGTGATTCTAAACTTGAATTATTGCAAAAAGTGCTTGATAAACAAAATGAGCTTGAAGAGAAGTTAGTGGAGTTAAAGAACAAAGAAAGAAGTGATAGTAAGACTGAACAAGACCTTTTAAAGAAGCTTGATGAGATGGAAGAACTGGAAGAGTTAGAAGATGAAATGGACAGGTAAGATGTAGAGACATTTTTGAAAGTAATGAAGATTGAGGAGAAAAAAAATCAATTTGACACTTAAACAAGTGCTAATATCAAAAGATACTTCTTTGTATTTTTTGTCAATATCGATATTTTGTTTGTTAAAACAATTATGAAATCAGTCAACCAAACATTCACTTCCTGTACATTCAATGAGCCATATTTGGACATTTATCTAACAATGTCAATTTATTAATATTTCAGATTGAATGATATTTTAGAAACAGATGACATAGAAGAATCAGAAGAAGACATTACTCCCTGTCAAACTACCAAAATGAACAGAAAAGTTTCGTTCAATGACGAAGATGACAGTGAAACATTAGAAATAATTTTCCAACATTCTAACATTGAGCCTTGCAGAGAACCTTATGATCCTGCAAAAGGGATTCAGAAACCTAGTGATATTTATAAAGCTTTCTCACACTTGTTTAGTGATCAAACAATTTCTATTTTAAAGAAATCAAAATATACTGAACCAATTCCTAGTGTATCTGCAAACGTGAACAATAAAATATTAGAGAATGAATCAAAAGACCCACTGTCACAAAGAGAAACAATAGTGGTTAAGGATGTAATTGAAAAGGTTGATCAGAGTGATAATCAATACACGGAAATACAGCGGCCTGTCAGTATATTTAAGAAGAGAAGACAACAGAATAGATGAAGTAGTAGAATTTAAGATAAAGTAATAAAAGTTTAACTTAATTACAATACTTTTGAGTTTTTATTACTAGGGATAATAGCTCTATAGGCTCTGATAAAATTAAATGTAAACTAAGGGCGCGTTCCCACTATGTCGTGACGACAGATTCTCGTGCAGTTTACAGTATTGTGACTTGTATATTTAAATGAAGTTGGTCACATATAGCACGACACGATTAACTGTCGTTCACGATTTTTTATCGTTACAACGACGAACTGTCGTCACAGTGGGAACAGCTAGAACGACAGTCGTCAGACGATAAAAAAACGTCACGATAAAAACGTGACGACAGATTGTCGCAGCTCCTATTGTCGTCACATTTTATTTTATATGTCACGTTATATTTTCTTTTCTTTGTTTGCTTCCTCTTCCGCATTTTTAAAAGTAATATGTTACTAAAATTTCGTCGTCATCCATTTCGAGTGAACACACACTAACGGCTTCCAAAAGAACATACAAGCGACTGCAATGCATCAAACGATTATGTCGTGCAAACGACAAGGAGGCTGTCGTGAAACGATAAATTGTCGTCACGATCTAGTGGGAACAGCTAGTCACGACAGTCGTTCAACGATAAAAAATCGTCCACGACAGATAGTCGTGATATGGGAACAGGCTAGACACGACAGTCGTCTAACGATAATAAAACGTGACGACATAGTGGGAAACTGGGAACGCGTCCTACGCATTGTAAAAAAATATTTTTACCAGCATGGCTTATTTAACTTTTGGTATTACCACTATATTATTGTAAGTCAATGATTACCACTATAAATTTTGTTGCTCAGTGACATAATACAAGTGTCGGTATATTTTTAGGAAAATAAAATATAGACGCTACAACACACAACATTTAAAATAAAATAATTGTTTAAATCTATTATAATATGACGAAGAAAAACTAAAAGCCTAGTGGTAATTTGCTGGTTTTCGGGCTTCGTCTGGCAAGTGTTTGCCGCTGGAGACACCACTGTAGCATGTAAAAACGAGTATGTTTACAATTAAATATTACATAAATAAAAGGATACCTTACTATACAGTGTGTCCCTGGTAAAAGTGCACATACTGAACAGAGTGAGAGTAGACCACAAATGGTCGACAAAAAAAATTAAAAAAAAAATCTAAAAAATAAATTGAATATTTTATGTGGGTTTATAATTTTTTGGCTCGATCGGACGACTTAATTTACATAAAACGTTTTAACTTTTTTTTTACTAGCTTTATTGCAACAAAGTAAAAACTATTAGCATTGTTATTAGTAGTACATCAAAAATACATCATAACTACGTAGACTTTAAAACAAAAAAATATAAAAAAATAGTAATATATCCAAAATTTATTTTAAAAAATCGTAAAATTTTCTCTTTATGTCAATTTTCGCAAAAAAAATCCCTATTTATTGCATTATTTTCACAATTCTTCTAATTCTACATGATATTATCTTTCAACTAAAAAAAAAATCTTGAATTTATCTTAATTAAAACGAAAATTATAGGCGTTTAAAGTACACACCTAATCTGAGTCAGCCGGCCGCCGTCCATATCTAATCTACATAGCTCTACTTCTCTCATTACAAAAGAAGCGCATCAACTTAGATGAAGCTGGTAAGCTTTAAGTTAAATAAAAAATAATATTATGCCAAAAAGTATTTATTTGTTTATTAAATGTTGTGCATAAGATTTTCAAAATGGTTTCCATTTTGCTGTAGGCACATTAGCGTCCGCATTACTATTTGTTTGGTCGCGGATTGAACCATATCTTCGTTCTCTTTAATTTCTTGAGCGAAATGGTTGATTCGGTCGATAAGTTCCGCTTGAGTATTTATGGGTTCACTGTATACCGCTTGCTTCATGGCTCCCCAAAAAAGTAGTCGAGTGGTGTTAAGTCTGGTGACCGCGGGGGCCATGCCACTGGCCCTCCGCGGCCAATCCACTTGTTGGGATATCGCTCATTTAAAAAATTTCGCACATTTAACGAATAATGAGCGGGGCACCCGTCCATCTGCAGATACATACGTTGTAATGCAAGAATAGGCACATCTTCTAGTAGGTCTGGCAAATCGTCTCTCAACAGGCTTAAAAATGTCTCCCCTCTTAACGTTGCAGGTAAAATGACTGGTCCTATTAAATAACGACCAATAAGTCCTGCCCAAACATTCACAGAAAACTGCACTTGGAATGTAGACTCTCTTTTCAGGTGTGGATTCGAAATACGCCATCTGTGTAGATTTCTCGCGTTAGTTATCCCGTTGCGAGTAAAAGTAGATTCATCCATCCATAAAATACGTTGCGAAAACTGAGGATCCATTCTGGACTGTCGTTGAATCCACGTAGAAAAAACACATCTCGAAATGAAGTCAGCATTGCCATGCAAATGTTGTACTCGTTGGTAATGATAAGGGTGTAACCCCTCCTTCTTTAGAATGCGCCAAACTGAAGTTTTTGAAATTCCGTGGTGTGCAGCCAAGCGTCTTATGCTCGTTGTGGGATTTGAAAATAAGTTACTGAGGACAGCTTCCTCAATAGAAATGTCAACGATCACTTGCCGGGCTCTTTCGCGGCGTTGCCCACCGATTCCGTGGATAGATAGCAATCGGTGAACCTCTTGAAAGTTACGGGCTGAAGGTTGCGGTTGTCGTTCAGGATATTGCTCCCTGTAGGCCAAGCAAGCAGCTCTTGCTGATCCATGATGCCAACCGTAGAAATAATGCATATCAGCGATATGATTTGCGGGGAAATCCGATAAGCGCGGCATCACGAAAACAAAACACAGTGTACACAGCGAATGTTTCGGAGCAACTGGTTTTTATTTGTTGTAAATAAGGTCTAACGTTTTCTCCCTGCCCCTTCACCCTTGGCCTCAGCCCGCGACGATGTGGAGCAGTGTTCGTAAACAAAAGATTTAAAAAAAAGGGTCTCTACCTGAGGATGCACGGACAGCGGCAGGTGATACAATAGAGCACGTGTACAGTTTAAACGCCTATAACTTTTGTTTTAATTGGGATAGATCCATGATGTTTTTTTTTATTTGAAAGCTAATATCATGTAAAATTAGAAGAATTGTGAAAATAATGCAATAAATAGGGATTTTTTTTGCGAAAATTGACTTATAGAGAAAATTTTACGATTTTTTAAAATAAATTTTGGATAAATTATTTTTTTTAATATTTTTTTGTTTTAAAGTCTACATAGTTATAATGTAATTTTGATGTGCTACTAATAACAATGCTAACAGTTTTTATTTTGTTGCAATAAAGCTAGTAAAAAAAAAGTTATAACGTTTTATGCAAATTAAGTCGTCCGACCGAGCCAAAAAAATATAAACCCACATAAAATATTCAATTTATTTTTTAGATTTTTTTTTAATTTTTTTTCGTCGACCAATTGTGGTCTACTCTCACTCTGTTCAGTATGTGCACTTTTACCAGGGACACACTGTATAGAACATTTACTACAGTAATAACAATTATCAACTATCTTTAAATGAGCTATACTAATGAATATCTTCTTAGTTTGCGGTACCGACCACCGCACCGACCATACCTTAATTTATACTTATCATTAGTACTTTTCAACGAAAATCCATAGCCTTCGGGAAAAAGCTATTTTTCCGAACGGAACTAATTTGACGTTTGCTTATTTGAGGTTATGTTGCTAACTATTTTTTTTAAGGGGCAATAGCATATAAAAGAAGAATTTGTAGTCTTACTGTGAAGTTGTAAAGTAATTAATTAGTGAATACACCATGTTGTCCCGTAGTAGCAGGCTGTTATGTCGGCGCTACTCTCAGGCTGTCAATTTTAGAACAAATGAGTTGTCTCCTGTAAGTGGATTTGCCTTATATTTTATTCTTAAAAAAAAATCTATAAAATAGAAATAATTGTAGAAAACACCATAAAATTAAGCTTAACAATACTCCGTTTCCTGGATAATATTTTGAATAAATAGCTCAACGCCGTAATTTTAGGTATCTGAACTTATAAAAAAATTAACTGACGGAAAATTAATTTCAGACCCAACACAATGACGATCAAATCGGTCTTTTCTATACATTAAAGCCGGAAGTATGTAAGCAACTGTTCCAACATGGCGGGTTTCCCAAGAGCTTCATGAAACAAACTAAAACATTTACAGAAACCACTCTGATGGTGCGTCGGCCTGCAATTGACCTAATGAATTGTATAAAAGCTTCGGACCTTAACAAACCAGTTATTCGATATGTTTTATGTATCCTTTTCATACAAATAAGAAGAATTTTAATAACGGTAGAGCTGCTTGTGAATGATCGCATCTTAGGAAGTACTGCCACTTTGAAATTATAGATTATTATTAATAATTTGAAATTACAGGCACATGAGAGTACTCACCTTATGTATAAGGGTGACGGGTGCAGTGGCAGTGCCCCTCAGATCTTTGTGATTTAAAGCTCTGAGTGGCACTACAACTGCTGTAGACAGGGGTGTAGCTTACCACCGGAGACACACCTTGTTAGTCCCATCGTCATTTGGTATCATGAAAAACAACAATATTACTATAGTCTGTTCCAATCCATTTTGAACAAAACGTAAACAAACCTGTTTGGTTAATTCTAAAGCAATAACTCAATAAATTGAATAAGTAACACTTTCATGTATATTTCGAAGATTTTGACTTGATATATCATCACTTTTTCCGACAATATTCACTTGAATAGCATCGTAAACTTGTATTTGAAAAATGGTAGTCAGAAAGTGAGGTTATTATTTCTCTATACTTCTATGACTTACCTATGGTTGCATAGTGCTGTTCGAAAAAAAAACATTCGGTTGAATTAATTAAAGTTTGGTAATGGATTATTAATTCATACATTTCAATTGCAATCAAACGAGTATCTAAGTGTAAGGATTTGAAGGAGGATTTAAATTGAAATTTTAAAATGCTTAATAGGTTATGTAAGGAAATCCGCTAGTATGACTGAATTGAACAAATCGATTCATTCAATTAATTAATCAATTTGTAGTTGGCGTTTGTGACTTGTTTGTTTACTTTTTGTTCAAAATGGATTGAAATGAAGTATAGGAATATTCATTCCCTACAGAACTTCAGCAATCTTTCTTATTTTTCTGTTTTCACATTTCTGCACATTTGTGTTCGCAAATTATACAATTGAATATTTTTCCCATAGACTTAGCAAGGTGGTTTTTTACCTCAATTATTTCAAGGTCGCAGGTTAAAAACAAAAAATGTATGCTTCACAATCTGTACAATTGTAATTTTTATGCTTAGAGGTTTTATTTAAGTTTCATGCATATTAGTTGAGGGATAGCCTAGTAATTCCATTTGGAAATTGTTCCGTTTGAGGGGGAGCCATAACAGCTTCACTCACTCAATTTGGAAAACTTCTGTTAGGAATCTAATAAGACAATTTTCTTGTATGTGATATGGAAAATATTAACAATAAAGAGTTCATCCAGTGAAGCACTGCCACCTTACCTATTTCTACCACCAAACAGCAATGTGAGCATTACTGCATTTTGGTTTTGAAGGGTAAGGGCGCTGGTGAAATCACAGGCTCTTGGGACTTATTAATTTATGTGTCTGGGTGATGTGTAAAATGATAGTGCCCTGAGGGGCACTCATGATCTGAGGATCATGGAGGCATGTCACTTACAACCAGGTGCACATCTTGTTATGAGTGATTTGTTCAGTGCAGATTATTAAGTTTAAGTTTTTCGTACTTGCTTCAACATTTGTGATCATCCAGATATTGACTAATTAAATTAAACTTAGTATCTGATATAATGCTCCTTAACAAACTATTAGATGGTGAAAAAGGAACGGGAAAGTCTTTAACAATGGCCCACCTTCTACATTATGCGCATGAAGAGGGCTTTTTAATTGTCCATGTACCCTGGGGTAAGTCTTATTGCTTTTTACTAGTTGTCTGATTAGTAATCTTCCAATATCTAAAACTCATTTTCTACATTTCAAATTCAGAACTTCATAACAGGATTTTAATCAGACTGATTTCTAAATCAAGACTTGTCTCTTTGCCCCTGCATAGTTTTTGAGTAGATGAAAGTGATTATAATTAAAAAGTATTATATTGCTCTATATTTGTATGTCACTCCACAAACATGTCTGGTAGTCATACTGGTTATATTCTCAAAGAGTCGGTTCTTTCCAGTATCCGAGTGGCTACGGCGCGTACCTCGCCACAAGGAAATGTCAAACTCGCAGTCGCACGAGGGCTTTGTGGATCTGCCACTAGACGCCGCCACTTGGTTGCTACACTTCAAGAACCAGAACCAGACACTACTTAAGAATGGAGAGGTCAGTTTCTTTTGAGAATTATTAGGCAACTTTGAAAAGCAAAAATCTGGCAAATTGATACAAGGAGGATGGCTATCTGCGAAGTACGCTGTCTGAATGATGTTTGCGTAAATATTTTAACTAGTATGGAAAAACTGTAAAACGTACACTCTTAGCCCCGCGCACTAGGGAAACCCTGTATCTCGGGTCCTATGGACACAATATACAATAACAAATTATAACCAAACTCAAGGTAGAAGTGTAGGCCATACAATTTTTTTTTTGTTTGTTTATAATTTGTTACTTTGAGTTCAGCAAGGTGTTTTAATTGTGTTAATTTGCAGCTAAATATAAATAAAGAGTATGTATGGAGTAAAAGAGAAAAGACTGAAGCGGGTGCTCCATTATCTGAACTTGTTGAACATGGAATAAACCGCGTGAAGTACGCTTGTGACGTCATTGATGCCTTGATCTATGAAATTAAGCAGCTGTCTGAAAGTAGAAAGTAAGTTTTATTGTTTGATTACAACTACTTTTTTTTTAATGTTATAGCGCCACCGAAATAATCGATTATTGCGCCGATTTCAAAATGGGATCAAACTGTTTTGTCCAAAGCCATAAAAAATCAAATTTTTCATTCGTATGTATTTGGTATGGTAACACTTAATTTGTTGCAAATTTCTGCAACTTATTCATTTCCGGTTCCTTCGAAAATAGGTTACAAACTGATTTTTTTGTGGTTCTATATTTTTAATCTACTCACATTCATGCTACGACGGTATTTGCCAGCAGAGATTATTGACATTATACTATTCACATGGAAAACCTTTGCAAGTTTTACAGAATGTACTGCGTTAGGACTACGATGCTTGGGAAAGGTCCCAGAATGCTATTGGTGTTTTCTGTGACCTCTCAAAGGCATTTGATTGCGTTGATCATATTACTCTTACGAGGAAGCTGGAACATTACGGTGTAAATGGCAAGGCGTCGAAACTTGTCTTGTCATATCTCAATGGTAGAATTCAGAAAGTAGACATAAATGGAGTTACTTCTTTGGGTTCTCCGGTAAAAATGGATGTTCCGCAGGGCTCAATACTTGGACCTTTCTTATTTCTGATTTATATTAATGATCTGCCATTCTTTGTTAAGGACCATTGCGAAATAGTGTTGTTTGCTGATGACACATACTTGATTTTTAAAACAGACAGACATGACATTAACTATGACCATGTTAATGATACCCTCTCTAAGGTAGTTTATTGGTTTAATGCTAATAATTTATTGCTTAATGCCAAGAAGACAAAATGTGTTAAATTTGAATTACCTAACGTAAAATCGACCAATCCAAGCATAGAAATAAACGGAGAAAAGTTAGACCTTGTTAATAAAGCAGTCTTCTTGGGAGTGAACTAAGATAGTAAACTTCAATGGTTTCCCACATATATCTTCCCTGGCCAGCAGATTAAGCTCCGCTGCATACGCAGTCCGCAGAACACGTGAGCTTACCGATGTTAGTACTGCTAGACTAGTTTACTTTAGTTAGGTACTTCCATAGTATAATGTCCTTCGGGATTCTCATGTGGGGTAAAGCGGCAGATATTCAAACCATATTTGTATTGTAAAAACGAGCGATTCGTTCTGTGTACCGTTTAGGCTCTCGGGTTTCTCTCAGAGAAAACTTTAAGGAGACTGGTATCATGACTGTGGCATCACAGTACATTTACTCTAATATTTTATATGCCAGTGAAAATATACATAATTTCAATAAGAAAGAAGATATCCATAATATTAACCTTAGAGCTAAGTCCAAACTCATGGTACCACGATTTCGTTTAACCAAGGTAAACAACTCTTTTATGGGGAACTGTATACATTCTTACAATAAGATTCCGGAGCATATATTAAGTTTATAATTTCCTAAGTTTAAAAACTACATTAAAAATATTTTGGTCGAAAAATCATATTACAAAATTGAAGACTACGTGTTAGATAAAGATGTATGGAAGGCGACACGGCTCCAAAATCCACACAAATTTGATTCAAAGTGTATTCCATAGCATTTAAGTTTATTTGAAAAGAGCAATCCCTAGAGTTTCTTGCTCGTTCTTCTCAGGGAGGTCAGCGTAGTGAACGAGCAGTAGCTTAAATGTGACGTTTTCAAGTGTAAATTTATTTTACCTATGGAATAAATAATCTTTGACTTTGACTTAGGAAAAATATCATGAATTAAGATCTAGTGACTAGTTCTACACTCTTATACTCACAAATATGTGTTTATTTTATTATGATAGCCAAAATAAACATGAATTTCAGTGTAAACATGAACGTGTTCTGACTAACACGAAATTTTTATTGTTGTAGTTTACTCTCTAAATTTCCTTTGTATTAGGAATGTATGTTTAAGAAAGCACACCAGCCTTCAACAATACAAAGAAATGATTAGGTGATTTTATATTGTTGTTTTAATTTGTTCTATTTCATTACAGGTGCAAAACATTTGTAGCCATTGATGGGTTTAACAGCTTTTTCTATCCATTGACGCGGCTTAGCACTCCCACCAAGAAGACTGTAAAACCTGAGGAAGTCACACTTACTAGCTCTTTTAAAGAACTAACGAAAAATAATTGGGTACATTTCTTCATTATTAGGTGTAGACTATCATAGATTACATTCTACTATAATGAAAAAAGAATGAAAAAAGTTTATTAAGGGACTTCCTAGTAGGTGTCTACCACCTGTAACAGGAAGTCCCGCTCTTCCGTTATCTTTTAGTTGTATGAAACAAACTATTAATTTCTAAGTTACAAAAGCTAAATGAATTATATTAATTATACAAGTTAACAAGAATACAAGAATAATGTAGCATCAAAGTAATAAAAAATAATTGTTTCCAGACAAATGGAGTGATTCTTCTCACAGCTGATCAACTTGCTGTACCTGATGACCACCAAGAAAGTTACTTGCCAAAATATTTATTACGCAAAGAGGTACAAATGCAACTGCGGTTCTATAAATAAAAGTATTTATTCAAAATATGCGCCCTTGGTATCACACTTAACAGTATTCAAAACTCAGATAAGACTTTTTTGAGTGAAACTTAGCAAGTGATGCATTTTCATATTCCAAATGCAGGACGAAAACTGCCGTGTGCCAATTTTATACAGTTTGCAAGAAAACTTACTTCAAAGTTCTTCGGGTTTTTAAATTTAGAAATTACAAAAATGATTTATAACTAAAACTGTTTCTAAATATTTATTAACACGATTTTAACAGGTACTTACCTTAATATGATCTGTGCACTTACACTGTTTGAGAGGCTTTTGCCCGTTTTTCAAAATGTAGTCTTAACTTAAGAAGATCTAAAATTTCCTTAAAACAGTTATAATGTTTTTCTTAACTATTTCGCGTTAGCAGCATTTAAAAGTACTTTTGAAATATTACAGCTGTTAGTTGCGTATCAATAACAAAATAACGCTGAAATCTATTCTCGACTGCTGCACACTAAATTATTGTTCTTGTACATAAAATTTTATCTGAATTACAACAAAAATCGGCAGTTAGAAAGATGTAGATTGGAGTATGGTTGTGGCGAAACGCTCTTCAAGCTGTAGCTCTAGTAAAGTGTTTTTATTCTTGTAAAGGGTTGTTAACAATGCATATGTGGTAGGTTAAAATGACCCCTGCAGAATCTGGAAAACTAAAAACACGCAGAGCGTACGTACAATATCCGCTTCACACGCGACGTAAAATACTTTGCATGCATTATGCCACATCAGAACTCGTATTAAAAAAATACTTGGCTATGTCCACGCGTAACAAATTGAAAAATAACTAAAAGAAAACAATTGAAGAATGCTAAAATTTTGAATTTCAAAGCCTAAGATTTTATTTGAAAAAATTTGTAGACTTCGTTTCAAAGTGATCAGAATATTAAGTGTGATGGTTTCATACTTTAACTCGAGACTTGTCAACTATATGTCTCAAAGTAACAGGAGCAGTGGCAGTGCCCCTCGCATCTTTGCAATTTAAAGCTAACCTAAGTGGCACTGTAACAGTTACAGGCGAGCTTTTAACTTACCATCAGGCACAGACTTGTTCGTATATTATTTGATAATCTTAAAAAAAGAATTAAAAAGTTTCACACTATTTCTAATTTCAGACAAATTTAACAAATTAAAACTATTAAGAAAAAAAACAAAATAATGTATGTGATTCACAAACCAAAAATAGTTTCATTTCCAATGTATAACAATCACAAACACCTTAAAACTCAGCAATTAATTTTTTTTATTATATTATCTGTCTAATGATAGAATTGTGTGTACCTAATATAGTCATTAATTATATGTTATCGGTTACAGGGATTTGACCATTTGGACCCTTTTGTACCAGTAGAAGTGAGAAGATACACCGACAAGGAGTACCTATCTTGTGCCAGCTACTACAGAGATCGTCTGTGGCTCCGTGGCCCTCCTGAGATCGATACTGAACTCAAGTTCACTAGTGCTTGCAACCCTTTTACATTTATGGAGCAATGTGCACCACTGTAATTTGAATACTTTAGTTTTTAAATCTTGTTAAATATATAGTCTAATGTTCATTTTAATAACTTGTTTTTACTTTTTTAAATAATAGGAATTGCTTGTTTATCAAAACTACTGGCAAAAAAAAAGCAATAATGATTTTAATAATTTATTTTACTGAACATGAACATATCTACAGAAATACACTTAAAAGAAACTTAAACATCATAGCCCACAAGGTGGCGCTTGCCAATGCATTCTCCTATATAGAACCAGAACAGCACCTCAGCACCTACTAGTACATTTAAGGTAGCCTGTTTGACTGTCTGTTGTTTCCATGCCCCTGTCTTCGCACTGGTCAGAAGCTTACCAATACCTGCCTTGATTTGAGGAATCTCGCTCAATTTAGGTGGCGCCAGCTCTACTTTTGCGTACTTCAAAAAAATGTTGAACTTGGGGCGCGCCTGGGCTAACGCCGCTGCAAGAGATTGGCTAGTTTAGTCGAAAATCAATATTTATAACCTAAAACTACTATTCATTGTGGTTTGCGCCACCATATCATCTTTTCTGGCATGATATATAGACTGATGTAACTTCTTATACAAACATGAGGTCACACTAATTTTTAAAATGCTTTCGAGCCTCAAAAACCATAAAAATCCCTCGAATTACATAACTGGAAGAACCACAACATACACTTGAAATTTTAGTCCTCGTGAATATACTTACAGTTAACCAACGACGGAAGTTTAGCAGCGGCCATTTTGATACAGTAATTATTTAATCGGAACAACAGAAGTCAGTGAAAAACAAGATCCTTTTTGATTTTGGAATCTGAAAAATGAGAGATGGACCTTGATTCTGTCAACAAATGACAAAGTCAAAGCAAATGTTACTATAATTTCCGGATCGCCATTTTTTTTTTGATGATTTGCGTTTAATTTTTGCAGGATTCGTGCTACATTTTTATGGCAACACTCAATGCAACGTCGATCGTTTTCTGTCAAGAAACCCGGCGTAAATGTGTCGATTTTTCTGATTTTCTGATAAATAATAGCTTTTATTTAGATAAGTTCTTACAGGAATAGAAGACCACGTGTAAATTTAAATAGTTAATCGTTCAAAATGCACTTTCGTGGTGAGTTTTGAGTTTCTTATTCAAATTTGTAACCTTTGCGTGGTTGTAGAGATAAATTGAATTTTTCTTTACTTTTCAGCGGTGTTGGGTTGTAATCGCATTTTATGTATAATTATTAACCATGTTGCTAAGTAATAACTGCAAGTTGAACATATTACACATATAGATTTTTGCGAAATGCTTAGGACACGTCAGAGTTTGACTGCTGTATTGGCCGGCTTTCGGCATGTTTTATCAGTATTGAAATTCGAAATATGTTCTCTTGGTGTAATAATGCGAAAATTTAGTGCTTTCACCTTGATTACCGCTCTTGTTAGTCTAAGTAAACATAAAACACTTACTTGAAACTAGGATGGATTGCTAGCAAAGTACCTATTATTTTAAGTATTTCCACTAAAAATGTACAGTACAATGAATTACATATTTAAATAACAAAAAAAATTGCTTCAGGTACTAGTCTTACAGAATTACGAAGAATAAAAGAAATGCTATAACATTTCCATTCAAACTTGTAACTGTTTAAAATTTCAGCATTATTCTTTGCGGTGCTTTGCCTGTTGGGTCTCAGCAGTGCCACACTGCAGAACACAATAGATCTACAGCGTCTGGAGTCCATTCTACAGGCGGGCACTAAAAGCAATGATGTTGCTACACTATATTACTCTCTCAAGGGTTTGAGTCTGCTAAAAGTTAAAATGCCTGATGTTTGTAAAGTAAGTATTTTTTTAATTGTCAAATATGTATATAAAAAATTGATACAATGTTTTTGATAACACTTACAAAACTAAGGATGAATATGTTTAGTTTCCCAAAGTGGTCCCTACTGCCCCCGCAGTGGGTGCTGAAGAGTTTTGATGCTGTACAGGCGGTGTGGCCGCATTTTGAAAAGAAATTAGAATTATCTATTTAAACTATGCTACATAATATATGTTTTTTTCCTTGTGATTTTTAGTGTTAATTTTAAAACATGTTTTCAATTATTTTTTGTAGTCAGAATGTTTGAGAACCTATACTATACAGTGCTATTTGCAAAGTACTAAAAACCTTGTAGGACTATATTATTGACATAATAGTAATTAACAATAACTTTTGTTCTATGACTTTGTACAAAACATAATAAATTTACCAAAAATAAACTTTTTGTCCAGATAGTAATCTGACACTTTTTAGATATGTATTTCGTAATAAGGTATCTAAAGACGACAATCCTGCGTTTTGCTCAGAGTTCACCATTTAGAGCATTCTATTTAAATATTTGTATTTTTGTTCAAAAATAAAATGTGATAAATTATTAATAGACATGGAAAAATCAACTCATCCGTAGAACAAAGGTCTTTGTGAAAGACTACTTGTTCTCAGGACATAGTACATTTTGTTCATTCTTCTTCGCTGTGGATGTCAGATTGACCTTTCTTCTATTTTATATTTCCGAAACAAAATAAGATATATAAATTCTCAAAATACCTTTACATAGGCCTTAGTTTGAATAACGAAAATGTTCTCGTAACGTACTTTTTTTTTTTGCTATACAATCACATCGGACTCTGTTCTTCAGATGAGTTTCAACTCATCATAGCTGTTTCAGACGTTAGGAATATAGTTCTGCCAGATTGTTAGTATTTTATAAATAACCCTTTATATTTCATGAATTTTACCTAAATTAAACAAAATATAATTTGTTCCACTTTTAGGCAAATTTCACTTAAAATCACTAAATTGTTTGGGTACTACCATTCAGTAAAACTGTGTGATATTCTTTACAAACACACATAAGTAGCTTTTATGAATATTTATTCATAAAAGCTACTTATGTGTTTGTATTATGCAGTCGTCTATTTAGAAGACTGCAGTATATTTATCTAGGAATATATCATTGAAAAATTAGCAACATAATTTTTTACCTAACAACTAATATCTATAATAAAAATCTGGTTAAAATTAAATATTTATTGAAATTGTTCTACTAGGCCATCAAAGATGCCAAATATGATATCAACAACATGGAGCAAGTGTTTTACCTCACAAATGCTGCCTTACTATCAGGCTGTACCAACTACTTGAAACCTGATGTCCTCTCTGCCTCAACACGAGTCTTGGATAAGAAAGAAGCGCCTTTGTCGGAGCTTTACTATGCTATATACTCTCAGAAGGCATTAGGCAAAGGAGCTGTATGGGACAAAGATGAAGCCCTTAAAAATCTCATTCAGTTGTTGAAGAAAGATGATTCTCCTGTCAAGTAAGTGACTGTATTTTGTATTAAACATTTTCTGTATACAGTGTGTTGATTTGCATTCTCGCCATATTTAAGAAATTAAATAGAAATAATGCTAAATCATGTAAAAATATAAAAAAAATATTCCGACTAATTGTATCTAGTAAAGTTTTTCAAAATTGTCTCGAAATCATATGCATCACGCAAGGGCAGTGACCCCGCCACCCGCTTCCCGAGCTATACGTATCTTTCTCGATCGCTTATTTACCTATTTTTTTAATTATGATTATGTCCTAGTATTGTTATAATTTACTATATATTTACATTAATTAAAAAGTTGATAAAAGTTTTTTGTAACTTAGATTTGGTACTTACCAACTTTAGGTTACATGAAAGTATTGCTAGAAGTACATAGCTGGTGCCTGGCTCCGTACCGGCTATGCAGAGATTTGCATGTGAATTTCGTTTCAACATTAGACTGCACAACTTTGAAAGCAGAAACTTCGACACTCGTATCCTCCGCGTAAACTAAACGTTTCACATCATGCCATAAGAATAGACACGCACTTGTACCACTCTTTTTTTTTGCACTACTAACTCTTGTTTACATACTGAACCACATGGCATTTCGTGACAAACTAGAATAGAATGTACCTTTGCGGGATGTCAGCGTGACGTAGACGCAGTCAGTACGGGAAGCAAGGTCGACTGATCTACCAATCGCGCGCTCGATACGACACTACCCCGCCGTCGCTACCCGACCTCACCACCAAATAGATCTAAATTGCGTTTCTTTCTGCGCATTAAGGTCATTGTTCAAAATGTTTACATTTATGCCGATGCCGTGCAAGTCAATGACCTTTGGATCAAATTTGTTTACCGCAATTAAATATAAAATATTAATTTACGAAATTTTTTTCGATTTATTTTTTTAGTTATTTGGGTTCAGTTTCGAATATAGACTGTAAATATGGCGAGATGCAAATCAACACATTGTATACTAAAATTTGTTTAAATATAACATAACATTGTAACCAAAACTATAATACAGGCTCATAAATAATGTTTAATGACATAAACATATTTTTTTTTCATTTTTTTTTTAAATGAATAAACTGGAAATTTTATTACTAATAATCATAAAAGTAAGAAAATTACCTGTTGTATTACTTTTTTCATAGTTTATTTACACACACTAAAAAAGAATTTATGTGTTCAATATTTCATTACATTTCCTTAATTGTGCTTTTCACAAATTTTATAGTTATTTGTGAAATTATGAACATGTCCACAAAGAAGGTTGAAATGCACGTTGGAAATATATCCTTTGTGTAAAACATGATGTAAAATAGGAGCACCTAATAACTATCACATTTTGCAGTTACGCGTACGTCTTCGCGATGTGCGAACACATGGGCTGCGAGGCGTGGACAGCATCACACGCCGAAGGGCTGCTGCTGGCTGCCGACGAAAGCGATTCGCGCGCGTTGCACTTTGAGGGCGGGCTGCCTGTTACCTCATTGCTACTCTCCACCATTATTAGGTAACACTTTCTTTTCGTATTCGGTGGGTTCCATTATTATTATTATTTATTTATTGTTTATTATTATATGGCTTACAAAACTTTTTACAGAGTTATCTAGTCTTAACTAGACATGCTTAAATAGAATTCGAATACAATGGCACCTACTAGATGTAAGCACAACATACATATAATTTTCACGTAAATCTTCTTACGAACTAATTTGGACTCGGATAGCCCAATTTCTGTTTATAAACTAAATAAAAAAACAAATAACAAGAAAGAAATGCAAACAAAGAAAAGTCTTTAAAGTTACTTTTTTGAATAAATTTTACGTATACACCGTTATTCATGTTTTCATCCATATCCACAGCTGAACTGCTGGCTGGACATTGCTAACTCCCACGACTTTGTAGACAATACATAGTCTACCCATCTCAGGACGGACTGTATTATGTCCAGTGGTCGGAAAAAGGTGTTCCATGTATATAGATACATGTATAAATTAGACTACAAGAAGCGACAGAGTTGTTAAAACCACAAAACATTAATTAATTACTGTTTCGAATTCCGAATTACCGGAAATGGGTTTCACAGCATCGTAGAACAAAACTACTAGCCTAGGAGGTCGAAGTTGGATTTTAAAGTCATTCTGCTGGTGCCATATAAAAATGCAGTAGATAACCGACCTTTTACCAAATCAGAGAATAAAAAAGTAACGAGAATGGTCGCTCTCCGCCCCTACTTAGCTTTAGATACCGCATATTGACATATCGACCGAACGGCGACATTTGCTAGTAGAACTGAAGAAAAGAAATTAATTAAAAATTTTGCATACCAAGGGGATTCTCTCTAAGAGACAAAAACAGAGCTACAGACTTACGAAGCAGTACTAAATTGGAGGATGTCATCACAAAAAGCAAAATAGTAAAGTGGAAGTGGACTGGCCACATGTACAGGGAAAGAGTAGAAAAGTGCAACAGAAAGGTAACAGAATGGTTACCAAGAGAAAATGTCAAGAGGAAAAGAGGTCGTCCCTTTAAAAGATAGTCTGATGACTTTAAAAAATAGCTGGACCTCTATGGACTAGGCTGACTAGGGACAGAGCCAGATGGATAGAGGTGGGGCAGACCTATGCGTCTTCAGGATGCTCTGATATAGATTCAGTAATTTATTAATATAATAGTCGATATAATTCAATTGTCAGTATAATATAGGATAATAAATAAATAAAAAAATTACAAGAGGAATTTTATGTAGGACACCAATTTCCGACCATTGACCATGTCCCACGTTTCTGTAACAATTTCGTAGCCAAAAATGATTGCCGCTTTACTTCATCTGTGTCTGTCTCGCAATATAACCGTCTCTATACATTGTACAAAAAATATAATGTGGAGAAGTATTGTACAATTTTTTTTGTCTCAAGCGTCATGTAGCTGTGAATCCTTATTTTCTCAGACATTTGTTTATTACCTGTTCCATGCTCTGTGCGTCGTTTGTTGAGTTGATCAATGTCTCAAATCCCTTAACAAACAATAGCAGGCGCCTTGTACTAAAGCCTAATTATTATTATTGTGTATGCTCAGGTCGTACAAGGTGCTGAAAAAGTCATCACCTTTGACGGAGGAACAGCGCTACAAGTTCGCGGAGTACCTGTTGTCGCGGCGGTCGGTGACATCACAGCGCGGCGCTGCGTTGTTGGTCGAAGCTGCGTTGGCTCTCGCTGACGATGAGGTGAGCATCCTGGATTCTGACCGACTACCATTACTTAAGCAATTGCATCACCACTGCTTACCTACATCAGCTTACACGTATCCACTTCTGGATATAAGCCTCCCCCTGACCACGCCAACTCTCCTGGCATCCAGCCGCTGGCCACCTTTCTCAGGTCGTCCACCCACCTTGCCGCAGGGCGGACGTTTGCCTTGACATGGTCGCCACTCTAGAACAAGTCTGCTCTATCGGCCATCAGCCCCCCTACAGACATGACTGGTTCCACTGGTTTTAAGTACTTATTAATTCATAGAACCTCAACCATATTTGGTACTGGTTATTCTGGAATGACTTATGTGATGTAATCTTATTTTAATGAAATTATTTTTTTATCCCCAGCCATCACCCATCAGCATAGTTATCAAAGGCAAGAAGTACATAACTTCCGAATCTGACACCATCGAGATCTCTGTTAGCGATTTCATTGGCCGTCCTGTCCGTGGCCTTAAACCTGAAGAAGTGGTCGCTCAATCAGGCACTAGACTCGCTGACGACGTCGTGGTGCTTTCCAAACAGCCCTTGACCCAGAAGGGCGATGACCGAACGACTTTTATACTAAACCTTAGCAAGATTAAGGCTCAATACGGCTTATACAAGATTGCATTGAGTGCTGGTTCAAAGACGACTAATGTGAATGTAGCTGTGCTTGGAGAGATTGTAGTGTCAAGTATTGAAGTCGGTGTGGGAGACGTCGATGGAACAACTAGCCCTAAGATTACGACTGTCACCTACCCTAATAAGCTCAATGAGATCTTGCAGGCTGATCATTTGCAAAAGTAAGTTTCGATTATTTTTCAAATTTTTAGTCGTTATTCTAAATTATAATAATAATGCACCATTATGAGAGTGCTGTGGTTTGAAAGATGATATAGTGATCAGTAGTGCTAGCATGACAAGGTGAAACTTGACGAACGACTTAACGATTCTCTATGTGTTAATAACAATATCTCGCGTTCTGGATAGAAAAGGGAAGGACTGAGACAGGTCGTAACAGATCACGCGTGAAATGCACAGAATTTACGCCGAATATTCGGCGCTTCGGCCGAGAGCGTGGCCGAATATTCGCTACTCGGATAAATCACTATGTGTGGCATCTCTATTTTAATGGTTGGGTCATGTGGAAAGGATGGAAGTGTAAATTTATACAGCGAATGTGGATGGAAAGGTGAGGAGAGGTAGACCGTGACGTAAATATCTCGGATCAAATTGGGGATGTTTGTGGAATTTAAAAATACCAAGAATAAAAGACATACATGAACAGAATAATGCAAATGGAGGAGATAAAAAGGATTAAATAGGAGAGTAGAAATATTTTAGAGACAGACGCGATAACAATGTGTGTACAACCTCACCAATTACCTGGTCTCAAACCAAAGAATTCTCTGTATTGTATGTGCCAGGGAAACAATTGACTGGGGCATTATCCGAAACACCCAGACTAAAACCAGTTTAGAAAAGTTAGCTTCCCAAATTGGTACTACCGGGCCCACAGTGCTAGCCGCTGTATCGCCGAGGTTGTAAAATGTTCTATTCACGAAGATTCAAATATTTTTTTGGAAAATGATGTTTTTTCACAATAACCACTAAGATTAGTTGATAGCTTCCCCTCCTTGGCCTTGTTTATACACTCGAGGAATGCAAGTGGCAAATTTACATTTTACATTAGGTCTATTGTGCAATTTTCACAGGTTAACGCTAAAATTCAGCGTTCGCGATAAGCAAAACAAGCCGGTGCTAGTGCAACAGGCGTTCGTGCTGGTGGCGTCGAAAAACGCCGCAGCAGCCATCGTTGATGAAGCCATCTTCGTCGCGGAACCAGATAATTCCAAGGCTTATAAAGTTGAGCTGGTAAGTGTTGCATTACATTTTTTTTATTACATGTTATCGTTTGGGTAAGTAATAATAATTCTTTATCATTTTTAAGTGTATTGAATGTCACGATGTATGACAACTATGATATTCGATCAGGCCGGATTCGAATCAACATCTTCCAGCAAACCGTGCCAGACGCTATGCCAACTAAGCCACGGAACGAACTAGTGGACCTTACGAATTTTTCTATGTACTTGTTGGAGATCTTTGTTTTTGGTTTTTAACGACTTGCCGTTGCGCCATCTGTGAGAAATCTTTGAAAGCTTTCCTTGACTCAGCCAGGTACCTTTACAACTACCAGCAGCGGACTAGAGATGTCGAAATTACTCCACTAGTTTGTTATAATTATTAATACAAGGATCGAACATGGGTATTCACGTATCACTTGAACGAACGTTGAAGTGATACGTGAGAGTAGAATCGAAACGTAACGACTAATGAACGACATCTTGGATTGTGAAATTTGACATTTAGCCGTCCGAAGTCTATTGAAAGAACTGTCAAAATTTTAGCAGAATACGTATGACTTGTCGTTCAGAGTCGATTTAAGTTAGATTCATATACCAGAATACGCTTTTTGGATCGAACGACTTTAAAATTGGACTCGCTGACATTCACTGTCACACGTGAATACGAAAAAGCAGATCAACTACTAAATCGCTACGCTATCGTAACGATTTGATTACGTGAATGACCCCCCTGGCCGGATTCGAAACGACGTCTCCTAGTAAACCGTGCCAAACCAAACAAGCTATGCCATCTAAGCCACAAAACGAACCAGCACGAATTATTCTATGTGCTTTTTGTATTTGGTTTCTCAACGACTTTTTAGTCGTAGCGCCATCTATGAGAAATCTTTGAAAGCATTTCGTCGCCCAGTTAGATACTTTTACAATTATTTTTTATTTAATATGATTTCTCACATAGGTATATTCCAATGTGGTTATTCCAGAATGTGGGCGCCATCGCGAAACATCTGCAGTCCGGCTCTGGCACGTACTCGTTGACTGTCCTTCTCGGAGACAGCGCGGTCTCCAACCCCATCTCTTGGCCCGTCGGGGATGTAATCTTTAACTTCGGAAAGGATGCAAGCGCAGTCGGTAAGTTCTACAGAGGAATTAATGTTATCTTTGCCATCAGCCCTGTCGGAATATGACATTTAGTGCTAACTACTGTTTTACTTCAATTTGGCTTCAATTTTTAACTTACATTCATTTGTCAATATTTAGTAGGTGGAAGAAAAACATCGTGAAGTAACCTGCACGCCTAAGAAAGTCCACAATTGCGGCAATGAGACGTGTAATGTCGATGTTATTGTATTAACGCTTATTATCTCAAATTTATTTAAGGGATAATATATACTCTTCTATAATGAGATTCCCATTGATGTGTATAATTTCAAATGCTCTTATTATTATGATCATTATCTGCCTCCGTGGTCGAACGGATACCATGCCTGACACGCAGAGGTCCCAGGCCGAGAGAAGTATTTGTATGGCATACATTTATTTCGTTATTTAGTATTTATTTAATTTGTGGTTCTTGTCGTTTTAAGAGTGTGTGCGTGCGTGCGTTATTACAGTTTCTGCGGACTTGGATGACGAAAATCCGTAGTAGTGACTTAGCTCTTGCAGGTAGTCTCGATCTAAGATGTTTAAATTAAATATTGTATTGATATTATTAAGTATTCAGAATTATAAAGAGTTTCTTGCTCATTTTTCTCAGGGGAATGTGCGTTACGATTGAGCAGTAGAGTTCAATCAGTTTGACAGAATTCAATTGTAATTTGCTTACCTATGAAATAAAGATTAGTTGACTTTGACGTGCGCATCGTCGGTTTCGTGTGCCTATGGAAATAAGTAAGTGTGGATCGCGTATCAGGCGCCGCCCAGAAGAGCCGGCAGCCGGCGTCGGGGCCGCTGAGCGAGATCCAGCACCAGTTCCGCGTGGCCGAGCCGCGACCGCCGCGGGCGCTGTCGGACGTGTTCGCGCTGCTGTGCTGCGCGCCGCTGCTGCTGCTGCTGCTGCTCTGGGCCAAGCTCCGGGTCAACCTCTCCTACTTCCCCCTCGCGCCCAGCGCGCTGCTCTTCCACCTGGCGCTCGGAGGTTCTATTAACTCGAATTTCTTTCACTTCGGATAACCTTAGCGGTCAAAATGAGAAATTAGGTACCCGAGAATAAAATTTTCAAAGCGCGTGGACGTAAGCGACACGCCTGTCCATAACAGTTGCAGTGCCTAAATCGCAAAGATCTGAGGGGCGCTACCATTGCGCCCGTCACTCAGAGACATAAGTTGAAAAGTCCCATGTCTACATTTTATCTAAAATTTTGATTTTAGTGAACATATAATGTTCCCAATCATCTGCTCTGTATACCTATTCTCTATTTTTTTCCTTTACATAAACAAGAAATCTAATTGAGATAACTCCGGTATTCGTCAATGGACAATCTTTTTTTAAATTTCCACCTATTAAGGCTGGTTTCACAGCTCTATGTACGATCCGTAGGGACTGTCCGCCTGTGAGCCATCCGCATACATTGAATCCTCAGTGCTCTGAATCGAGTATTTAACTTAGTGCGGGTATTCACGGAAGACAGTCGCCTGCAATGAACACATGGGTGGCTTGTTCACACGGAGTGTGTTCCGTACGGAGCAATGCTCGTCACTGTAAAACGACGTTCTAACGCCAGTTGCCAGTAAACGTAGTTCTTACTCCGCTCCGGTGCTACGTACGGACGGTCCGCAGATAAATCCACACTGCTCTGGAACCAGCCTAATAAAGTCTGGACATTTGTTATATTTCTTTTATTGCCTAACATTCAACACCTTTGTAACTTGTTTTAGCATCCCTGGGCTTGTACGTCGTCCTCTGGATGCAGCTGACGATGTTCGAAACGATGCGCTACCTGCTGCCGCTCGGCGCAATCACATTCCTCTCGGGGCACCGTCTCCTGCGCAGACTTGTCCAGGAAAAGGGACATAAGTAAAGGGTGTATTCCCATGGAGTACGGGAAACTTATAACTTTAGTGGATCATTTCCCTGCATTTCAACCTGAACTAGCAATAATTTATTTCTGTATATTGACATGACTGATATGTTTTATGTACTATGTAGTTAAAGGACCACTTTCAGTTTTAATGATCTCCATCATTGAGTTTATATATTCGTCACAAACTTGCTTATTAAGTCAGCCATTAGTTTCCCGGCTTCAGGGTTAGGCAAAAAGTAGGAATTATAGTCCGTTCCTACCCGCACAGGGCTTAGTCAGGTGGTCTAATACTACCTTTACAATCAGTGAAGTGTTTCTTAAAAAGTAAGTAAACACCAAATTGTTTTTATTTAACGTATGCGTGGGTACGTGCAAGTGTGACTTATTCCTTGTTTTAATTTGTATTCGTGTACGAGCTGTGGACGTATAATATCTACTGTCTTCTGTTGTTGGTTTTTTTGTGTGTGTGACGGGACGAACAAAACGTGCGTCTGGTGGTAGGCGACACGCCTACCCATAACAGGCTCGCTTAATGAGGTAAAAGACAATTTTTCTTGACTGTTTACCAAACACTGGCACTGCTCAAAAACAAAAGGCTGGTGTAATCACAACTTGTATTGTAGTAGTCATTTAAAATTGTTTAAAAAAGCCTTCGCATTTCAGATATCAGATTTCTGCTACAACCACAAAACTTGTTCGTTTCAACACACTGGTCTGCCGATATAGAACTAGACTTGCTTTTGACCGTGTTTCGTATTCGTTACTTCAAGATAGTGAAATAACATCCATAGTTTGTATATGAATACATTTTCGAATACTTTCATTCCTTATATATTGGAGGACATATTACAGTAAATGTTATTAAAATATGTTCTTGAATACCATTAATTCATTTATAGATTTTTAATAAAATGTGATTCGTTAACTTGTTGTTTTCTAAATATTGTCCTAAAATGAAACAGTATGTTTTGTGTCAAATTATTTTATTAAAAAATTTTGCTATTATAATACATACAACACGAAATATTAATAATTTAACGTTAATAGAAAAGCTATCAGACAGCTAAGCTGTTCTAAGTTTTGTTAAAATTAATTAAGGCTCGATTTATGTCGCAGAGGAACGGGATAGAAGCGAATTTTTGTAACGATATTGTACATAGCGTAATGAGCTTTATGGTCAATTGTGCACAATTGAGTACAAACTAGATATGAGCCAAAAATCAAGTCGCGCGTCTTTCGCGGAATTCTCGCGCATTTGCGAGAATTCCGCAGGTGCCGTCGGTACGTAGAAGCAAGACAGGCGCAGTGTGACGTCAAACTTCTCACAAGACGAAATAGACGGTTTCATCCCGTTCCAACGCATTGTAAAGTGAGTCTAAAAGGTACACAATTCATTCTCTTATTGAATGAAGTCTTATCAATAAAGTTATTCCTTAATTCGATTCCCGGATCAACCGGTATTAAAAGAAAGCACTTAAAAATACAAATTCATATTAATGGCTAGTTTACACGTATTGAAATGATGATTAGTTAACCAAATTTCTTTTTAACAAACTTAATATATAATAACTTTTTAATGAAACTTCTTTTTACGTGTAAACAATCGCTAAACAGCTGTAATAATCATCAATAAAATTTAGAGGGTAAGCAAATTAGAATTGAACCTATTTTTTTTGACAGTCTGCTACTTTATCAAAAAATAGGTTTGATGAACCTTCCCGCACCCCGCGCATTCCCTGCTGATGGACTAACGTTTTGTTTGCAAAATGTCAAAATACTTTCTTACATTTTACAAAGTAAGTAACATACATATAGCTTTAATTAAACACTTAAAATTACATTAAAATTTAGTCAAATTACTTAGTCACTTAATAGGCGTAAACTCTTTAAGTCTATAAAAATATTCGTTTTCAATCATATTCAAGCTAGTGCAGAGCTTTATGGAGAGGTGAAACACGAACATGCGTTATGAAAACAGTGCGTTCGCGTACGTTAGGGTTTTTCGGGCACGAATCAACACTCGCGAGTAGCGAGCACGGTGCTATAGTGATGTTTAGTGCCCAACTGGGTTCATATTGTTTTGTCAAAATACTGGAAAGTCAACCATCATTAAAAAATCAGAATTTGGTAAATACTTTGGGTGATTTAACCGTGATTGTCACCTAAAACAACACTTATTTTTTTAAATTATCTACACTCATTCTATCTATGTTTAGTACACCAGGAACTTATCAAAAAGCAAGAGATTTTCTTCACTTACAAATTAGTAAGTCATTAAAATTACATTGGTCTTGAATTTCCAACTACACTGGAATCAATAATACTGTTCAAGCTTCATAGAAGATTTGTCAACTTAATAGAAAATTAGAATTCTGCATCTAATGTGAAGACATTGTCCATGGGCTTGGTCATGACACCCCACTTCTGGTATTCTGCCACTTTCTTCTCAAAGAAATTGGTCTTACCTTCCAGAGATATGAGGTTCATGAAGTCAAATGGGTTCTTTGTGTTGTAATGCTGAAATAAAAAACACATTTTCATGAAATTTCTTTCATATCTTAGTGAAATATAAGAACACCATGTTTGAAGCTTTTATGTATTGATGGCTTTTAACAAAGATATTACTTATCAACCTACCTTTTCACCAATCAGATCGATAAGCAGTCTGTCAGCGACAAATTCGATGTACTCCGACATAAGTTCGCAGTTCATGCCAAGTAGCCTAACCGGCAAGGCGTCCGTGAGGAACTCTTGCTCAATCACGACTGCATCCTTTATAATTTTCAGTACATGCTCCTTGCTTGGCTTCTGAACTAGGTGCTTGAACATTAGGCAAGCAAAGTCTGTGTGTAGACCCTGAAAAATAAAATAGGTTACACCTTACAGGAGACACACAACAAACAGTGGAATATGTATGAGTTACTACAGGGTGGTTGCATTGCAAGTGGCCTAGCAGCAGTGCAATGGCTGTATATGTATGTAAACAGGAATACTACAACAGACGCTGCATAATTATAGCTATAAGTCTCACAATGCCATTTGTGATATGTTTATCACTTATTATACCTTCTTTTTTGGTTAGGGAATCATTTGCAAACAGTGTCACTATTAGCAAATGTGCTGATAATTGGTTAAGTCCAATTTGTTAGTGTATGTATATGAGTTGTAATAAAATAAGTGACTTATTACAACTTCTATAAGCTTTTACGGCTTACCACACACGAGTGTAGCCTTATTGAGATAACCTTGTTATATTAGGAATCACACTCTGATAAGAATATAACGATCAATATTTTACTACGAATTTGGGTTTAAATAGGTAGGTTTTCCGAAATAGTTCTTGTCCATGTTGATTTCCATGTAGAGCAATTTCATGGAATGGTAATAACAGCATAGAACTACTAATACAAACCTCATCTCTTGAAATAAGCTCATTGCTGAAGGTCAATCCAGGCATGAGACCGCGCTTCTTCAACCAAAAAATAGAGGCGAAACTCCCCGAGAAGAAAATGCCCTCGACGGCGGCGAAGGCGACGATCCGCTCACCGAAAGTTGCGGATTTGCTTGCAATCCACTGCAGAGCCCAGTCCGCCTTCTTCTTTACACAGGGCAAGGTCTCAACAGCATTGAACAGGAAGTCCCTATTAAATAATTTAATTAGGTTATTCCCCCGTAAAACAATAATGAAACATACATAGTATTTAGTAAATGCTAATAATAATAAGTATGTTTACTATTTATAGATGGTGTAGTTGTATGAATTATACTTTAAATTGATGCGCATTTGACTTTTATTTTATTTATTTTAAAGTGAAGTGCAATAAATGCCACAAGAGGCGCCACAAACACACGATTTAACCAATTGTTTGTCACTGATTCTTTCATGTTCAGATGCCTTCTTTTCTGTGCTTTTTTTTTTGACAACTGTCTTGTCAACTGGCAGGAAGAGTTGCCTTTAACTGTTCTTACTTTTAAACAATTGACTTGATCTTTCATAATCTGTGTAACTTTTTTTTGTGTACTCCACCTTCCACCACTGGTCTTCACAACAACTTTATACAAGTTGAACCATTCAATTAATTGATTTGTGTTTGGCAGTACAAGTGGCAATCACTGTTTGGTCAGGTCAATGACCTGTTTGTTTATCTTTGCTCTAAAATTAATTGAAACAATGTATAGATCAATGGTTACAGTGGTGAAGGGCTGCATAGGCCCTGAATGAAGCTATATTGTTCACTAGTTCTTAAACTTGGATCCTAGACCCTGGCCAATTATGCCATTGCTGGGGAAATACTGCCCCTCCCATTTAAAAATTCTAAATAATCTTTTAGGTCATGAGAGGCAAAAGTGTAAAGAAATAATAATATTGTTCTTCTATAGTTTTGACTTTACCTATACATACATAAGATGAAAATTAGAATTACAAGGCATGATTGGTACTTGGTACTTGGTGTAACGGGCTGGTGTCCGCAACTCGACGACAAGGCGCCTATTTTGCGTGACAAGGCATGATATTAAATATTTTTTTTAATTTAAAAGGAAAATATGCTAACCTCTCCTTAGGATCTCTGATGTAAGTGTCAATGAGTAAAGAATACATTTCTGAGTGAACATTTTCCATAGCGATCTGGAAACCATAGAAGCACCTAGCTTCAGTGACTTGCACCTCCTGTGAGAACCTCTCCACCAAGTTCTCGTTGACAATGCCATCTGACGCCGCAAAGAAAGCCAGAACATGTTTGATGAAATGCCTTTCACCATCCTTAAGGTTTTCCCAGTCCACTAAATCCTGGTAACCATCAAAAAACAATTTTAAAACCTATGTTACATTTATTGATCAATTTTCATGAAAAATATTTCCATTGCCTTATGATAATTAGATGACTAACGCGATAGTCTTGTAAGAGGTTATTGACGTCATTTGTGGGGCCTAGTATTCTTCTCCGCAGTGCTTTTCGCAATGCACAGCTGTTTTCGTAAGTAGGTAAATAAATTGAAAGAGGTTACCTTTGACAGATCCACTTCTTCAGCAGTCCAAAATGAAGCTTCCGCCTTTTTGTACATTTGCCAGATGTCAGGATACTGAATAGGGAATATGACAAAGCGTCGCGGGTTTTCCCGTAGCAGGGGCTCCAATTGGGGATCAAATGCCGGCGTAGATTTATCTTTTTCGACTTCCATTTCCTCGTGTTTTACATTGCCGTTTCGCACAATCAAGACGTTATTTTTAACTGGGGACTACAAAGAACAGATATTTAATCATCATGTTACATTAGCGTGAACGTACGCAGTAAAATTTTTCCCTTACCTTGATGTGTACGTTATTGATACCGTTGTGTAGATTTTCTTTGTCGCTATTATGAGACATTTTAAACAGATTTTACTGTTCTGTGAATTAAATAAAGTCAGACTACTGGTATTCTATCAATACACAAGCTAACACAATGAGGTTCAATTCAGATCTGTGACTATTCGCGGCTTTTGTTGACCGACTTTCTCGTGAAATTGTCGAGTAAAAGCGTCATAACACAGCTGGATGAATTTGGTGCGAATTCAGAATTTCCGAATTGATATTTAAGTCGTACAAAAAAGTATATAAGACTTAGTAACTTATGCTCCACAAAATAATAGAGTTACTTAGTTTATATAAAAAAGATAATAATTATATTTCTTAATATAAATGTAAATAAAACATTATATTTACTCAATTACGTTAATAGCACAGAACTAACACGTCCTTTTTAAAATTCAATTCGGACCATCGACTGTTCAATGAACTACTACGATTAATTTTATACACAAAAGCGGGAAATTATGTTGCCCCCACTTTCACAGTTAGTAATTTCATAAAAACCTAGAAAATATTAAAACAGTTGTAGTAAAACATGATCCCAAAAATTTTCACATAAAAACTTCGTATCCTGATATCTTAACATTTAAGAAATCGGGTGTATTTACATGTAAAATAAAATAACTAGTGTTTCCAACATTTTCGCGGTATATTTTTCCATCGCTCATTGGGTAACAGATTGACCAATAAAATTTCTCAAAATTTTTTACTTTTAATTTATACAGACTTTAGCATAAAGTTAATTGAATTATTTGCTACGAGTGTTGATTTTTTTATTTTTTTTATTTATTAAGGCTTTGGCAAAGCCATCAGCCTAAACATGAAGTTTAATTGTTTCTGTAAATATGGCCGCCACAAAGAGGATAGGCAATTTGAGGCGGCGTGCTTGGATTGACTCGGGATTCCTTAGAACGGGCCGATTGGGTATTTTAGTTCGAGATTCGTATAACTTCGCATTTTAATCTTCGATTAAGGTACAATAGCACTATCCTATTCCACCTTAAACCAGATTTCACAAAATAATTGAAAGTCAAAATAAAAACGACACTTTTCCCTCCAAAATGCCCAGAGTGAATCCCTACGAATGTTGAGTTAGTTGTTAGAGATGGTTAATATAATATATAGCTCAAATTATAACGTTAAATTAAAAAAAATATTATAGCAATTATAATTTGAAATTTGAAAGACATAAAGGTGCTAAAATTATAACGAAATTTTTTTCACTTTGGATTGGAGTACGTTGAGAACATTAAACCAAATGCTATCTAGCGACATAATTTTACAATATTTCAATGCCATACCATCAATCTATCCGTGCTTTACTTACGCAGCTAACAAACAAAATCCTTCTTCGTCCCGAGTTATCTCCAATAATATTTCATTGATGGCACTATATTCTATGTGAAAATTGCGGCTCTTGTCATTGGTTGAAACAATTATAACGTGAAATACTTTCACATATTATTTGTAACATTTAACGTTTGGTGCGAAACGCGAAATAGCTGCTTGGTTTATTGGTATTAAATTTCACGTTTGATTACGCTAAGCGCTATAGTGCTAATGCTATATTTAGCACTTAGCAAGTATTATATATTATAATTGTAGTTATGTTATAAATTATAATTTTGGTTACGTTTTAATACGATTTTGAGCTAATAGTGGAACGTTAGCAAAATTTCGTCTGGTGAAGCGATTTAAATTAAGATATAATTAAGTACTTGGATAGTTAGTTTAGCGTTTGTTTAATTAATAAGTCGTTGTAATATTTATATATAAAAGTACGAGTGTGTGCGTTATTATTAATTATTATGAGTGTAATTTACTGTTAATAATCAGTGTAAAGTTTTGTGCAAATTGTAAATAGTCACGAACTTGAGCTGCTAAAAATTATAATTTTAGCGCTTTAAATAGCGCGCTATAAAAATTTAGCATTTAGCGTACTATGCGAATATAGCAGTTAATCTCATCTCTATTAGTTGTTGAAGCCAGCCTGTTCTATCATACCGTATGACAGAACGGTTATTTCGGACGGTATAACACGGTATGGGTCGTATTCCAGAACTCTACTCAATGCTCAAGTCAGGATCTGAGTATGATTATTATGAAGAATTATGAGTTCTGGAATACGACCCTAAGGATCGTATTCCAGAACTGTACTCAATGCTCAAGTCAGGATTTGAGCAGACTTGAGTATGATTTCAAGCACTGGAAATACGACCCTAACGGCAAGGACTTAAGTATGATTTTCAGTGCTCACTGCAATACTCAAGTCCTGACTTGAGCATTGAGTAGAGTTCTAGAATACGACCCTTATATTCTTACCAAGTTATGCCGTCCGAAATAACCGGCAAACTGGTTGTATTGTAACTGCAAAGTTTATCAAAAAATGCATTCCTTCATAGTGTTCGGTAATTTCAAAAAAATGTCAAAAAGTGGAAATATTTCGAAGATTCATAATATTCTACGTTTATTAGTATCTTTGAAGTTTTACTTAGCATGTATTATAAAATAAAATTGAGTTGAGTTGCTAAAAAGAAGTTGGGGTAAAATTAACCACCACCATTACTGCTTTTGCCGTGGTCATGGTGCACGTGATCTTCTTGTGCATTTCACCCACCAATGAGTAGGTGCCTTAAAGAGCAAGACATCATTGGCCTAGAGCCAAAATATAGCTAAGGTTTTTGACCGGGTTTGGCACATGGCATTTTTATGGAAGCTTTCATTATATGTGCTCCCATTACAAGGGCACTTGGATCACCAGCTTCTTATCTGAGCAGAGAGAGCACAAAAGTCGTTGTGGACGAATAATGCTCGGATACCAAGCTCACCAATGCCGGCGTTCCGCAAGGATCTGTGCTATCATCAGCCCTGTCCATCGCATATCAATGATATATTACCTGTGTATGTTACTAACTAACATCACCACATTACTGAATTCATAATCGTACTATAAGAATCAACGCAATGGTAAACGTAATTTATAATGTTCTACCAAATATGATATTAAAAAGTCAAATTATTAAAAAGTGACAGATATTTTATTCAGCTAAATGTTTGCCTTTCTTTTTAGATTATTTTTTCCATCCTCCAAGCCTTTCTCAACTTTTGGTTGAATAAAGAAAAACTGGCATAAATTACTCACAGACATTACGGTATTGCAAAAAAGTCTTTAAAAACCAAAAACAAAGATCTGCAACAAGCACATGGAAAAATTCGTAAGTCGTTCTCACACCACTAAATAAAACGCGGCTAAGTGACAAAATGCTTAAATATCTGTTTTAAATAGAAAAAGATAGAGCACAAAATTCTCTTTGTTAAAATTAGTTAAAGTATTCGACTTATCGGAATTTACCTTAACGATGCATAGCTGAAACATCATTAAACAATTTCAATATTCAAAAACTGGGTTATGGGTTTTTATATCTCAAAAAAATATTTTGTCACTTAGCCGCGTTTTAGTTAGTGGACGGCAGGTCTGCCATGGTATAGTGAAAGAGCTGCTTAGAGCCCAGCCGCATTAAGGGATGTGGCTTTAGAAAAAGTGCAAATCAATCGAATGTTACATTGCACAGGCATGTGTTATTTTTTTGTCTATAAATCACACAATAGCCCAAATATTTCATGTAATTAGACTTATTTAAGTAGTTTATTTATAAATCTTGTCAAATGTTGCTTTTGTTACTTTAGATTGCTTGTTTGTTTGTATATTTTGATGATTGTTGTTAACAATTATTTTGAGATAGTGTTGATCTTGTAAGCATACATATTATCGATATTCTGTTATTAAAACAATTCACTACGACGTTTTTATTGTTTTATTATTATTATTTCAAGTTTTCATACAAATGAAAAAAGGAAGAAAGAACGATTGGAAATCATAGAACTGCCGAATATAAACGTTGGATCAAAGACCATCTTCATTTGTTCGCTTCATTTTGAAGAGTCAAATTTTAACAGAATTTTGAATGTAACTAGATTACGTAACAATGCTCTTCCATCATTAGGTTTATTGGTACTCGTAAATAATTTTATGTTCAATTTAGATTAAACAAGACTCATTTACTAGTTATTCTCAGGTCCTGAAAACAAAATTATCCACTCGTTTCTGATTTTTCCCAATGACAACTAACTATTAAAAATGACTATTTTTTTAAAGCATGCAATACAATGACATGTTAGTCCAACGTTGCCGGGTAAAGGCCAATACCAACATATAGATAGCCTATTTGCCTTGCCTTGCCATCGTTAAAGTAAAGTAATTTGTATATTTTATTTATTTAGTAAGTACGGACAACGGCACACCAGACTACACATTTTTGTTCGAAAATCGCCTCCAGCGCAACGGAACAAGATACGTCAGTGTGTAGCTTGATGTGCTGGCGTGTGTAGAATTAATACTATGTAATGTTATATACCAGGAAAGTAGGTATAGGTAGGGCAATGTTGAGTGTGTGCGTTAAAAAATAAATAAGTAAGAGTGCGCATGTCGCCAAGAAACTGCACAACAGTTTGGTGACTATTACTAAATAAGTTACCAGTTAAAATTGCTTGATAGATTGATTTGTTTAAGTAAGCCAGTAACGTGAATACTAGAATCCGCAGAAACCTAAATAGACTTGTACGTGACAGTTAGTTAAAAGACGATACGTAAATATGTACTAAAATGTAGGTTAAAGGCGTATCTCTTAAAGTAATATTAATATTTGATTTAGTAAGTACAATTAATACTATGTAATGTTATATATCAGTAAAGTAGGTATAATTAAGTAAGAATTTCGCCAACAAACTGCACAGCAGTTTGGTGACTTTTACTAAATAAGTTACCAGTTGTAATCTTGCAAAATATTTTTTTTTTAAAGTTTAAAAATGTGTGTTGACATTTATAATAATATACCACTCGAGATTAAATTATTAGACTTGTGTTTGTTTAGGCATACTTTGGTTACAATAAACTAAAGAAACAAAAAAAAAAACAGTTTCAACATTCAAACAAAGCATGTCGATAATGACTTATCGATAGATTATGGTACAACACTAAAGAAATCCGCCATTTGTAACTTTCAAATTTTGCATATAATGCACGTTGATTCTGTATTTAGGGCAGCTCCTTTCATTTATTTTTTTTCCATCCTCTAAGCCTGTGGATACCACATTATTTAAAATATTGTACAAATGATCAAAGAGCATTTAAAATTATATTTTTCCAATCTTTCGGGAATTTTCCGAAAAAAAATACACTGTTTGGAATTTTTCGGAAAATTATCCAGCCCAACAGTAAATTACACAGTGAATTATTTTGCTCTAAAGTCAATTATATCTACCCAGCCATCCCAGCCACCCATGTTCAACGGGAAGTAAAGTACGTGGTATCTGAAACTAACTAAAATAAAAAATAAAACTGTCAAATGAGAATGTCAATGTCATTCTCCTTTTTTCCGTTGTCAAGTTGTGTATCATAATAATTCTCATTTTTATTGAATTTATACAGAAAAAACGATTAATTAGTTAGCCAAAATGTCCGACAATGATGATGATTACATGTGCGAAGAAGAGGAAGACTATGGCTTGGTGAGTTTTGTGCAAAACGTAAAGAATGCGAGGATATTGCAATGCCGCATTTCGTACTACATTATAGTTTGCATTTGCAGCAGATCTTTTGATTGACCGTTTATGTTTGTTGAAAATGTATATTGAAATCTACAATAACACTTACCACTACTTCTATGAAGCATAAATCTCCGTGTTGAAATGGTTGGCCCAGTCCGATCCTCTGAGAACTTGGTAATATTTTAAACGATGCCTCTCGCCGGGATTAGAAATGTACCAAATGAAAAAAGTGGAAATAAAATTGCCATCACCACATGTTTTTTTCGTATTATCCCATATTATACACTATTTTATTTCTTTTGTATATCTCTCAAAATTAACAAAGTGTATTAAATATGAGCATAATCAAAATCTTTGTATTAATAATTATAACAAACTAGTGGAATAATTTCACAAAATATAATTGAATATCAATTCAATAAAAACTTAAAATAATCAAAATGTTTGGTTATTATATTGTACATTTTTTCGCAATTATTTTTGATGAAATTAAGTTCTAAAATATTTTAAGTATATTAAATTTCTTTTTATCCGTCACACGTTCTTATGACACAGAGTAACCCTCATGATTTTGGTTATAAAAACTTTATAAATTTTTTCATAATTTTCAATTTAAAAAATGTGGATGAAAACACAGCTGCGCATTAGAGACTCTGCATGGCTCTAGGACGTGTGACAGGTATTTAGATATTTTTATATGTATTTTTGCATATTTCAATACCTTAATTTTTTATTTATTTATAGCCTTTATTGCTGATAACTTACATACTAACTTGTCTATCACAGAAACATTGTATGACATGCATACTTATATATGTATATTACTTATTATTACTTTCCATTTCTCACTATCTTTCGCTATTGGCCTCCATGCTCCTCAAGCAATTAAAATCATCTTCCCATTTAAAGTCTTCCTTTCTTCGTTTTTCCCTCTCTTGGGGACCATTCCACAATATCCCTTGTACACTTATAATTTATTTCTCCCATCGAGTGTCCTGTCCAATGCTATTTTTACTGTTTTATTATGTCTGTGACTTTTTTTAGTCTTTGATTTGCTTTTAATTGTAGTTAGTTTTACTTTATCTTTCAATTCTATGTTGAACACATTTCTTGCCATAGTATTCTGACAATCATGGAGTATTTTTTTTAGGTTTTAGGGTTTTAATTGGTATTGTACTTGCAGGAATACTCGGAAGACAGCAATTCAGAGCCAGATGTAGACTTAGAAAACCAATACTATAACAGCAAGGCACTGAAAGAAGATGAGCCAAAAGCGGCTTTGCTTTCCTTCCAGAAGGTTTTAGAATTGGAGGGGGGAGAGAAAGGCGAATGGGGATTCAAAGCTCTTAAGCAGATGATTAAAATTAATTTTAAATTGGTAATTTTGTTTTAACTATCTTATTATATGAAGTAGACACCATAATAAATAACATTTACTGAGCAGCTTTGACCATATCACTTACCAGTCACATGCTTATTGAAAATTGACAGTCAGTACTTACTACTATCTCCATCTTTTAAACAACAACAGTGACAACATCTTTTAATATTTACCACAGCTTTAGTAGTATAAAATATATGTCTTTATTATTGTGTTTTAGAGCAACTTCACAGAGATGATGGCACGGTACAAGCAATTACTCACTTATATCAAGAGTGCTGTCACCAGGAACCACTCGGAAAAGTCCATCAATTCTATCTTGGATTATATCTCTACATCTAGGAATGTAAGTTTTTGATTGATTGGTCACAATAGCATGGGAACTATTTAGTAGGAATCTTTAATTTATTTAACAACTCACTGTTTTTGTATGTGGTGCAATAAATTCTTTATGACAGACCAGACAAAAAGAATGTCTACATTACTAAAAGTCTACACCTTTGCATAAATAAATTTTTTTTTTATAACAGATGGAGTTATTACAAGACTTCTATGAAACCACTCTAGAAGCCCTAAAAGATGCCAAGAATGACCGATTGTGGTTCAAAACTAACACCAAGCTGGGCAAACTGTACTACGACCGCGGGGACTTCAACAAACTAGCTAAAATACTCAAACAATTGCATCAGAGTTGCCAGGTATGTTCTGTTGAGATTAGGTAGATTTGTTACTTTTATTTGAGATGAGAACAAAAGGATGTAGTGTTTGGAATTAAAACAAAGGACCTAATACTGACCCTTGGGAGATTCCAATTGGAATTCTAAATACACAGCAAAACAATTTGTCTTCAAGACTTTCTGATAAGTCTTTAATTAATATATGTATAAACTTGAGAAACACTATATTTTCTCTATTATGGTGATCTATTATCTATTATATTACTAATTGACTATGTTCAATCCAATCAAAGGCTTATTGTAAGTCAATATCATGAAACCTTATTTTGGATTATCTTTTATCTTACTCCATAGACGGACGATGGCGAAGACGACTTGAAAAAAGGCACGCAATTGCTTGAGATCTATGCACTGGAGATCCAAATGTATACGGCGCAGAAAAATAATAAGAAACTTAAGGCGCTGTACGAGCAATCGCTTCACATCAAGTCTGCAATACCGCATCCACTTATCATGGGTGTTATTAGAGGTGAGTTAATAATACAATGCACTGTTATTGAATAACTTAAGTTTTCTATCTCTATAACTTAAGTAGTTATAGAGATACAAAGACTTAATAAATTTGAAATTAAACAGTTACTGTGTTACACAATGTTAATTAAATTTGATTTGAATAACATTGATGTAATAAATTTACTTTAGAAAGCGATTATTGACTACTTAACAATATTTTAGAATGCGGCGGCAAAATGCATCTTCGCGAGGGTGAATTCGAGAAAGCGCACACAGACTTCTTCGAAGCTTTTAAGAATTACGACGAGTCCGGTAGTCCAAGAAGGACAACGTGTTTGAAATATTTAGTTTTAGCCAATATGTAAGTAGATTTTCTAAACTTCTTATTAAATTATTAGCGTCGCTTTTGAACGGTGTTCATTAATATTGCAATTACCCACAGGCTAATGAAATCTGGAATCAATCCCTTCGACTCTCAAGAAGCTAAACCGTACAAGAACGATCCCGAAATCCTTGCAATGACAAATCTCGTAATGGCTTACCAGAATAACGACATCAACGATTTTGAGTCTATTCTAAAACACAATCGTAATAACATCATGGATGACCCCTTCATCAGAGAACATATTGAAGATTTACTTAGGAATATCAGGACCCAAGTTCTTATCAAGCTAATTGGTCCCTACACGAGAATTCATATACCGTTCATCTCTAAAGAGCTCAACATAGACGAAAAGGAGGTCGAAAATCTTTTAGTTACTTGTATACTCGATAAGTAAGTAATCCTATCTTGGAAAGTTTTCAATTAATTAAATTTTTATTGAATTGATATTCAATTATTTTTTGTGAAATTACTCCACTAGTTTGTTATAATTATTAATACAAAGATCGAACACTCAGAAAAAATTCCTTCGATCCGGTCGGATTCGAACCGACGTCTTTGCATACCGTGCCAGACGCTATACCAACTAAGCCACGGAACGAACCAACGGACCTCAAGAAACTTTCTATGTGCTTGCGTCGTGTCTTTGTACTTGGTCTTTCAAGTTTTCAATTCCTTCAGTTAAAAATCCCACTTCTGATTTTAAAAATCAGAAGTGGGTTTCGTCTATTGTAGTTTCAGTTAAGTTTTCCTTCTTCATTGCCCATCTATCGTCATCTGCTGTGCATTTGACATAAATGATCTCTTTGTAGCACAATAACTGGCCGCATCGACCAAGTGAACTCAGTCCTGGAACTGGGGGGCGGTGCCCGTGGTGCTACTCGTTACTCGGCCCTGGACAAATGGACCACGCAGCTGTCGGCGCTGCACCTGGCGTTGGCCAACAAGATGGCGTAGGGTTCGGTGACCAGCGGCAAGACCCGATCCCCCGCGTACAAAAGTGTTCATTGCTATTTCAACAGTGTTGGTGAGGTAGGAATTTAACCATTTTTTGACGAGTTTGGCACATATTTAATTAGTTTTGTGTAAATTCGAACCCCTTTCACCGCGAGTCCATCAGTGCGCGTCAATACTCCTTCATGTAAACGGACCTAGGCGAAAATTACTCGAAACCATGTACATGTAATCCAACAAGGCCAATCTCAGAGCAGTGTGTATGATCCCTCTTGAATGTATGGCACTCCACACAAATGACTGTGTCCATTATACTCTAATCATAGAAATTGAGGTCCATTATCAACCAAGCAGTGTCAGCAGCCAGTAAAAGCTCTACCTATCTTTGTCATAATGAAATACTTCGATTATTGAAACGTAATTCATCGTGTCGCGGTACAGACAATGCTCTGAACCAGCCTAACAGGAACAAATTAAGCTGAAATCACGCAAACTAATTGCGCACGCGCGTTTTACTTCAGCTCAGTTCAAAAATACAAAGCTCCGATAAGCGCTGCAGTCTGTTTTAACTTGTCACGATCAAGCGTAAAGCGCGCGCGTAATTTAGAGGCGCAATTTCAGTTACATTTGTTTATAGCCTTAAAATATCGGATTGTACCGCTAGTTTCAAATATTTTACAAGGTTTAATGAGATTTAAGTTTGCTAAAAAGGGGAATTATTTTGCCAGTGAAATGTACCTACCTGTTTTCCCAGACATCGTGTCAATCAATAAATAGAATTTAAAACCAGTGTTTGAAGTTTCCCACTATCACATATTTCAATTTTATAAGAAACAAATGTTTGATTTTTAAGAACGAACTACAGTGCAATTTTGTTACTGCGCTGAATTTAAAATACAGCTCTCAAGTAACAAACACGTGTTGTTATTTTACTTGCGTGCAAATAAAATCAGTTCAGCTGATTTTTTTTTATTTAATGGAGATCCTAATGATCAGTGGTTCGCTTTATTTGCTCTTAAGTAATGACTACCCTATCCACATCTATTAAATCCCATATTGCACTATCATTGTTACTAAATTTTAAAAGTAACATTTTTCACAACCTGACAAAATAAATCTGTAGGTGTGAGAGGTAAAGAACCTTAGGTCCGTACTTTTGAATATAGACTCAATTTATATTGTAGCGGAAGGAATGGAAACGAATTTTTGTAACGATATTGTACATTGCTAGCTTGTTGTTGTAACTGCCTCCGTGGCCGAACGGTTACCATACCGGACTGCCACGCAGAGGTCCCCGGGTTCGATTCCCGGGCCGGGAGAAATATTTGTATGGCCTACATTTATTTCTCTCGTGAGTTTGGGTGTAATTTGTGGTTGTCTATGTGTGTGTCCATGGCACCCGCGACACAGGGTTTCCCTAGTGTGGGGCTATGTTGAGTGTGTGCGTTATTATTGCTTAATGAACTTTGTTTTGTGGTGAAGTGTGTAACGTACAAAGTAGATACGAGCCAAAATCTTCCGCGGAATGCTAGATGTTTTTACAAACATTGCTTTACAATGCCGTCGTTTGTTTTTTATTTAACATATTTAATTTGACCATAAAATTTATGTTTAAGACGCTGAAAAGCGTCGACGACCTTGAGCGAATACGCGCCTACTATAATTTCTCTAATAAGGTGGCGCCATATGCCCCGATGTGGTAAGACTGTGGTAGTTGGACCTTCCGCTTGATTTAACATAATATTGATTGCCGCTAACAGATGGCGTTGTACTTAAAATACACACATGCTATCAAACCAAAAAATATCAAAGCATATAAGAACTGGACGTGTTATGCAAACAAGAAACAACCCACACCTCGAGGGAAATTGAGTTATGTATTAAGGTAGAACACCAGACGTGTCCTTTACCCGCTCACAAAAGATCCTGGCAACAAAACGGAGAAAATAAAAATCCTTCAGGGTACCAACCCTAAATAAGTAACGTTTTAATAGCTAAAAAGAAACTTTAAAACCATCATTCTCGTTAAAACGCTCTGTAGTAAAAATTACTGCCAGCGAAATGACTCTTAAACCTCTCACCTACAATAATAATATGTAAATAAAATATGATTATTAAATATAACATATCGTTTTTCATACCAAATAGAATTGCCATAGTTGACACCAGCCAAATGTTATATATGCAGCTGGTGCCACGGCGGGCGCAATATTGCCCCAAAGTAAACATTAACACCAGGTGGATAAGTCGTCTTCGCTTGCCCGCTGAAGACTGCTACTTACCCAGTGTAAACACAGACGTAATTCGACGACTGTAATTCATTGCAAAGTTGACCAAGTGTAATCACTGTCGGGCGATAAGGTCGCCTTCGGCAAGCGTTGGCGGACGCGTCACACAACAATGCGCGTGCCCCAGCACGTAGACTACCCACCTTTTAATATGGGAAGTGCCCCAGCTAGCTTGAGACCAGGGTAATTGGTGTGATTGTCTGGCACATTATCATTATTACTATTTGTTGTGTCTTTGTGCGTAAACTTGTATTTATAAATACTTGATGATTTCGTCGAAGGCGGTAGTCGACCCGATGTAAACAGAGAGTCGACTGTGCCCCCTTAGGCAACGGAATTCGCTCGCCGAAGAGGCGGCAGTCGTTTCGGTGTAAACAGCGTGTCGACTGTGCCGCCTCTGTCAACCAAATTCGACAAGGCGAAGAAGTCTGCCGATGAGAGGATGGCGGTAATCGACCCTATACACGCCACTCTAAGGGCGCGTCCCCATTATGTCGTAACGTTTTATTTATCCTACGACGACTGTTGCGTCTAGCCTGTTCCCATATCCCGGCTATGTCTTGGACTTTTATGTTATCGTTGAACGACTATCGTGTCTAGCTGTTCCCACTAGATCGTGACAATTTATCGTTTCACGACAGCCGCCTTGTCGTTGCACGACAGAAAGGTTGAATCGTCGTGACGTTTTATTTCTCGTCAGGCGACTGTCGTCCTAATACTTCCCATTGTCTGTCGTTGTAAGGTCAAAAAAGTCGTGAAAGACAGTTAATCGTGTTGTACTATATGTGAACAACTTCATTTAAATATACAAGCCACGACACTTTAAAATGCACGACTATCTGTCGTCACGACATATTGGGAACGCCCTTAAAGGAAAACAAAGAAATAATGTGATGTAAATATTTATTATAATATCGTGACTACATGGACGGATTGATATATCACAGGTTAATTTTATAAATCCCCATAATTTCATGTATTACATAATCACTAATCGATACTTAAATTCGAAAAAAATTAAATATAAAATCAATTATATTGCATTGTAACAAACTTCGAGAAGTAGAATACATTGTTTATATAATATTTTATTTAAAAAAAGATTATGAATTTAAGTTTTAAATAAAATTTAAGAATCAATATACAATGGCACAAAATACCTAGGTTAGTTATTATTATTTAGATTCTAAAATTTAGTTTATCAGGACAATTTCAAAAATAGTTGATATGTCAACATTGAACATTCTTCGCTAATTCGAAGTTTACAGAATTTTTACTTATATCTATATATTAGTATCTTTCATTAATTTGACATTTATTTAGTCGTTGTTTTAGTTTTACATTATCATTGTCAGTAACCAGAACAACGCTATAAAAGCCCGTCTACACGGTACTATTTATGTTGTCGGTGTTTTGTTGCAACATTTCGAAAAATTTTTCAGGTATACGTGTTTTAGGTTTCATGACTGTTTTAAAATATTTACGTCCTGTTTTTAATTCAATTTTAAAACTTAAACTTAATTACAACCAAAATTGAATTTTAAAACAGGACGTAAATATTTTAAACCAGTCGTTAAAACTTAAAATATGCTCCCCGGAAAAATTTTGTACAAGTTTATAAGCGGTAAAGCTCGGCCGTGTAAACGGGCCTTAATTGTCTCTGTCACGTGGCGTACATACGCCTAATATGCGAGTGAGACAGTCTGTCTTCCTACAACTCACCCTTTTCTGACTAACCGTCATAAGTATAAATTGTCCGAAAAATTTCAAAAAGCAAACAAAAAAATTATAAAAATAATTTTTTTTAATAATATTTTTCATGACCCAACACTATTCGTAACTAGCATAAGCATAAATTTAAATTACCGCGGAACGGAATGGAAGAGAGTTATTGTATATACCATAATTAACGTTATATCAATTGTATAACGTATAAACTAGATCACGATACGGTAGCTGCGGGAATTCTCCGAAAGACCGCGAGAATTTTCCGAAAGACGCGCTACCTGCACGTACTTTTACGACTATAGGCACTGTGCGAATGGGTCGTATGTCGACTAAGCCGTTTCTAATTGAGCCTTAAATTTTTTTTAACCGAAAATATAATACATATTTTCGGTTTTTACATTCCACATTCAGCTAGAGTTAAATTCGTTCTACCAATAAGTTGTATTCATACATAGAAAAGTAGATATATAAATTCTAGTATACTGTATATCTAGTATACGGTAGTTATTGAAGAGAAGAAAAAATTGTTCAAATAATGGAGAATTTCACGTCCCGAACGAACAAGGCGATTTCTTTTGATCGATTTTGCCTGCTTGAATTGATATCGCGATAGGAACATGCGCGTGATCAGAAGATAATTTTTTGCTGTACAAGTAAAACTGGTAAGGTCACCTTGAACCGTCGAACCTGCCACGCATCTTAGAGCCTGTCACGTTTTTAACGCGCTGTTTTCATCCACCGTTAAAAAAATTGGCAATATTTTTATTTTATTGAATGTCATCAGTCATTTTCAGGTAAGTTTTTTGTACTCAGTTTTGGTGACAATTTTTATTATTTAATTACTCCAATATATTTTCGTGAAATATTCAAGAATAATTCACGTTACCACACTCGAATGTGAAATAAAACTTCATGATGATATTCTATACATATTTAAATAAAAAGAAATTGTCAACAAAATTGAGTACAAAAAACTTACCTGAAAATTACTCTCATGATGTTTTTACTACCATGACATTGAAGAAACTTTCATAAGTTTTTCACAGGTGGCGCTGACGACAAAACGCCTAGAGAAAAAAAGCACATAGAGAAATTCGTAAGATCTGACTCGGTCTGTAGCTTAGTAAGCTGGTTCGAGTACATTCGGATCGAAGGAATTTTTTTTGTGATTTTCGATCTTTGAAATGTATTTTTTTTACCAAGATCGTTAAGGACACCGTGTGTGTCTTTAGGACGCGTAACGGATTAATCTGTAATTCACGTCAGCAGTTGTCGCCTAGTAAGTAGTTTGTATGAATCAGTGGTGGGGCTTATCATGCAGCCAGGGCCTGAAGATGGGCAGCGTGGACGGATAGTGCGTGGGAGGGTGATCGTCTTCAGCGGCGTCGCGGAAGGGGTATGTGCCCAGTAGCACTGGTAGTTGCAGTTTCACCTCCTTTTCCATGCTCTTCGGCTCGATTATGAACTGGTGAAATAGTTATTGGTCTCTTTAAAGTTCAGTGCAGAAACAGAAGATATGAGAATATGTCGTATCTTTGGTAAAATCTGCCATCCGCCAACTAAAAGTGACTAAACATGTTTTTGAGATATCATAAGAAAACCATAACTTACTTTTGAATACTGAAATTGTTTAATGATATTTCAGGTATGCATCGTTAGGGTAAGTTCCGATAAGTCGAACTCGTTAAATAATTTTAACTGGTTTTAAAAGATAATCTTGTGCTCTATTTTTTTTCTCTATTTTTTTGACCCTTTGTCACTTAACCGCGTTTTCGTTAATGGACGGCAGAAATGATCACATGAAAGTCACAAAAGTACTACAATACATGAAATAAAATATGTATTATGTATAAAAAAATATTTTACTTGTCTTTTTTGAAGACGGAGTAAAATGACAGTTCGTCTTGCGAGCAGCTAGTGATTGCAGTCGATAAATGTTCTATCGACTATCGAGTAAACATTGGTCACGCTTAAAATAATTAAAAGAAACGTACGAACTACAAAAATACAAATAAAAATTAAATATTTTTAAAATACAAACGTCCAAAATTAAAATATAATTACAATTTCTGTAAAAGAAATTCCTCTACACCGTAGAATTCATTATCCAATAAAAGGTCTTTCAGTCGGGAACAAAACACTTCGTCATTTATCGAGTTACTTACTTCGTCATTTGTAATATTTTTTAGACTTGTAAGTAGGTGTTCGTAAAATCGGGGCCCGATTACTCTCGGATACAAAAAAACATACAGTCGAATTGAAAATCTCCTTTTTAAAAGTCGGTTAAAAATAGTATATCGGTAAACTTACAAAGACGTCGTAATGCACGGAGATGAGATGGCAGCCCCGCAGGTTGGTGGGCGGCAGCGGCGGCACGTACAGCAGCTCGCCGCGCCACCAGTCCGTCTCGCCGGGGCGACACTTTCCCCGCGACAGAGTTGCCAGCTCGCGCACTTCCTTGGCCGCCACCTTGCCGTGCGCTGAATATTGGATCGTCTGCAAATGCAAATTATTCTATTTCTATTTCCTTAAGAGCTCTCATGCTAAAAAAGTTTTGACGTTGGCTCCGCCCAAATTTGTGAAACAAATATATGCCTTTGATGAATTTCGCGTGACATGCGACAGGAGATGTTGATTTTTTCGCATTAAAAGTACCAAATTCGTTTTAGCGGAATAACTCTAAAACTAAAGGGATTAAAAAAATCCGTAGCGACAGTTGTCGATCATGCATAAATATAATTAATTATCTAATTTTTGTCCTAATAACCTGTAGCATTTCGAGTATAAATCGAAAAAATGTGAAAATTAGAGGTCATTTCGTGATTTTTATCTATGGAGGAAACTTTATTGTTTTATGTTTCTGATTAATGTCTATGCTTGAATATATCGTGTAGTTACTCATACAATATTTTATTTTTAACTTTAAAGTAGATATACCCCTCTAAAATCAAATCGAAGATTAGGAATTTTTCCTCTGCTCCCTCTTAATGGCGGCCACTAGGCTTGGGGCAGTGTTAGTTTCGATTAATGTTGTCAGTTAATATTGTTCAATAACGTCAACGTTTCGGTAGCTCTTAAACTCTTAGACTATGGAAACTATTTTTTTCCATCCTCTAAGCTTAAACTACTATACAACTTGTCAGAAGAATCATTTCTTTTTTTTCTTTTTCTCTTGGCTTTTCGCGGTTAGCGTTTCAGCCACTTGCAAAGAGTTTTGACTAAACTTGTTTATATAACGGGGAGTATTTTTTTAACGCACTCTCATAGCCCCGTACGAGGGAAACCCTGTATCGCGGGTGCCATGGACACACACATAGACAAAGTCAAACACACGAAGAAATAAATCGAGGAAATCAAACCCTCTGCGTGGCAGTCCAGCATGCTAACTGTTCGGCCACGGAGGCAGTTAATTATACAGAACTTAAATAAAATTCGGTACAGACGGATTGACGGATCTTATTCTATTGGTCTGGAGGCGATATTAGAAAAAAAGAGTGTAGCTTCATGTGCTGTTGATTGTGTGTATATAACTCTAAAAGAACACCAACAGTGCTCTCAGACAAGTCAAGGATGAGAAAACTGAGATACATACAGGCCACATACTTCTAACCTAGCCTTGGCGAAATTAAATCGAAGGCGAAGATAATTAAAAAACAATG